GTGTGAACGCGTGCCAAAGTCGCCGTTGATACGCAGCGCTGCGAGTTGCAGGAAAGCGAATACAACGACAGGATGCTCCCTCGCCGACTCCGCTCAGACACATTGATTCCAGAGAATTCCCGGCACGCGCCTTTTTTAAAAGTAGACAGCAAACGCTGCTTGCTGAAGGTGGTTGTTTAATTAGTCCCTGTGGCTTGTCGCCGTTGTTGTTGATACGTACTATAGCTGCTTCGATGAATATAGCGCTTGCACCTATTCAGTGTTGAATGCCCTCTATGACCTGAACTAAGATGATGCGCCTCCTCTCCTCCTTCGGATCACAATCTTTCTTTTAACTCTGTAAAATTTATCTTACGTGGTCCGGTGTATGCCGTCAGTAGCCCCGCCACCGAACATGTCTTTTCTCAAGTACGCTGAAGAAATCTGCCCACGTTTAGTGGCACGGCCTAGTGATAAATATGGCGGAGGTTTGGGTGCGTATCTCTCAGGCGGCCATGTTTTTTTTTTTTTTGTTGTTGGGGTTGCGCATCTTTTTTTTTTTTGGGGGGGGGGGGGGGGGCACGCTCGCGTTTCAGTTTGCTTCCATTTCGAGGGGCACGGTCGGCGTTGATGAACTTAGAAAGCGTTCTGTGCTGCCCCTCGTACGCAGTCTTTGAAAGGCAACCGGTAACATTAAAGGAAGCTACCCTCAACGAACTACAAGCTAAACTGACTCCGTCAACATGGAAAACGCAGCCCGTTAATCTAGAGATCAGCCGTTGTAGAGTTCTCAAACGCCTCGTGTAAGATATCCTCAGTCGCACCTCTTTAATTTTGCCGCCTTATCTGCGAGTCGGTGATTTTGCTAAGTTCCCTGGGCTCGAGTTCTCCAATGCGCTGCTGCCTGAGATTTCTGCGAGATTTCACTGGTTTCGATTGTGCACAACGTGGGTTTCTTTAGTTCTTATATTGTATGGAATCGAAGCATATCCTTGAATATGTACACCGAAGGGTAAGCAGCTTTAACTGTTTTCGTTTCGCGGTAAGGCGCTTCAAAAGTGCTCGTAAAAGCACTTTTTCATTTGTTTTTTTTTTTCTTATTTAATGCGTGTTGAGGAGCAACCAGGGGCTTAAAGAACCCCAGGTGGTCGAAATTTCCGGAGCCCTCCACTACGGCGTCTCTCATAATCATATGGTGGTTTTGGCACGTTAAACCCCACATATCAATCAAATCAGCAACCAGGGCTGGGTCAAATTTAAATCACGATCCCTCCTGTTACAGCGTCGCTCGAATTCGTCAGCATTTCCAAGGCGTGAAAGCTGTCGACGTACGTGAAATTTGGGATGTACACCGGCTATAGCCTCCTTCACGAAACAGGACGCTGCTTTTGCAGGCGACGTCGTTCGGTATAGAAGCCTGCTTTCGGTTGGAATTTCGGCAGTGTGCCTTAATCGATGCATGCTTCCTTCTGTTACCTTTGCGAAGCGTCGGCCTTAACTCTTGGCAATCGAGGTAGGTCGCCAGCATCTCTTTACCTGCCCCAACTTATAATACCTGGTGAAGCTTTGAGGGTCAAGTACATGACTACTACGACGTACGCACCGATTATGGGAGAGAAATAGATTGCGAACAAAGTATCTGATTAGGTTAACACTGTGACTAAACACGCTATGCACGTTGCAGCGGTAACCAGCACTCACAGATTCAATGTAGCGAACGTTTGTAAAGAAAGGGGCTATCTGGAAAAGCCTAAAAAATCCAGCGGTTCGAACTGACCGTTGTGGGCGGAACAAACTGCTTATTCGGATCATATTTCTCCAGAGGATGTATATACCCTTTATGCCGACTTTTATGGGGATTCTGTAGTTTCGTTTCTCGATTTCAAAGCATATCGCGTGGTCGTGTTTCTGTCCTGGCTCGAATCTTTGCGATATTTGCTGTATAACTTGTTCGGCGTAGCTGAGAGTGGATTTCGTCTTGTTCAGCGAGTCGCATTTATTCGCCGCCCAGCGTATATTGCGTTTTCCCAGAAAGCAGCGCCGAATTCTGGGAGGAAACATGCGTCACACTTCGCACGCACTCGATCAAGCAAAAAATAAAATAATAAACTCTGCGCGGCACGCGTCCTGAGAGGTGCATGCAGAGGTCTTTTTTGGCGTGACCTAGTTTCGGTCCTCGGAAAATGCAGCCTGTTTCTGGCGGTGCTTTACTCCTTCGGAACTGCGCTGGGCCACAGAGAAGATTGCGTGGAGAGAGAGAGAGAGAGAGAAAATCACACCCTACCTCGGACGTCGCTATGAACGGTGCTGGATACAATTACGTCCGTGATAGCTGGCAAGCCGCTGGCGCTAATTGTGTTAATCAGCTGGAGACATTAAAGTCGAGATTTGAAAAAAAAAAAAAAGCGGCTGCATTCGTCTGTCGCGGGTGCGGCGATGTGAACAAGCCGAGTGGGAAGAGAGAAAGTGGGAAAAGGAGGAAGGCCCCGTCTCGTTTCCCTTCGTTCGGTGACAGAGCAGCGGCGAAAGTTTGCCCTCTGCGCCGCGACCGGCCGACGGGCGGCGGTTCGTCAAGACAGCCCAGGGTCCTGCGCTCGCTCTCGTACGCGAACCCCCCGCCGTGAGCTTCGGCACTGCACCGAGAGCGAGGCCGGCGTAGCGGCGGCTCGCTTATTGATCGTCGCCTCTCCTCCTCCGTATTTTCTATCTCTCTCCATGCGTCTCGCTTCTTTTCGCACCAGACGACGGAGACCGCGGGTGAGGGCGCCAAGTGTTGGTAGGGGGCGAAGAAAGCGCTGGGTTTAACGGTAGGGGAGGAGCGGCTCCGCGCGACTATACCGTCGCGAGGAGGAGAGCAGGCAGACGGCCCCTATGGTACAGGGTTGGCCGTCGTATATACCTGTACCGTGTACCGCAATGCGAGCGTGAGTTCACGACCGCCGCAGTGTGGCGGTGCCCCCCGCCCCTCAGCAGCGCCCTTTTCTTCTGCACGCTGCCGTTGGTGGTGTGGCCTGAGGAGCTCCCGTTTTGAACAGCCGCATTGGCAGAGGTATAATGTGGGTGATTGTGTTTCATCATAGCCAGTGGCACAACTGTTAGCGACGCGCGTGATGAAAGTTATTTCTTTTCGAGTTACACTCATCCGCTGCTTTTAACACTGGCCGACGGTATTTTTGCCCTGTCCCCTTTTCATCGTTTTTTTTTTCTTTCGATTTCATGTGAAGTATTGCTGCTCTAATCTTTTAGTATGCGAGTTACTCAGTACAATACGTAAGCGTCCGATTCGAGGTCCGTGCGCTTTTACGCTTCGAAGTAACTGCGCGACCTTGTGACAACTATTACGGCGTTGCTGTTACCACAGTCAGATAAAGATTGTGTTCTCAGATTCGCCTTTTTTAAGCGGTCTTAGTGAGCCTCCCTTCATGAAGACTTCTGGTAACTTCTGCGGACGTGTATATGACTGGGAATCTCTCCCAACCTTTCCCGACACTTTCTCACTATCTACGCCGGTTTTCTGGTTTCCTCGAAGAGAAAAACCAAACAAAGGGCTTACAGAAGGCTGCCAGTGTCTTGGCTGGATGTTCCGTCCCGTATGCGCATAAGCAGGCGCACTCTTTCAGATAGGGTTGACGTCAATATCTATAAGTGCGGGGTCTGCACACGCAGATAGGTAATGCGGTCAGGTCAAGTGTGATGCACCATTAAAAAAGGATGGGAGAGTCCGGTCGCTGTTGCTTCGATAGTCTTGCGTAATGTTGCGCATTATTTTTATTTTCCTTTTTTTGCGGTCAGGTTTGGCAGCGTTGTTTAAGGAGGCCATTAGTCAGACTTTCGACTATGTGCGCATTAATTTGCCTTAATCCACTGCCGGTAACCAATGAAGTAAAGTGCCAAGCTGAGGAACGTGGGTTTGATTCCCAGCCACAGCGTCTGCATTTCCAGAAGAGGGAAACGAAAGATCATCTCTATGATTTTAAGCTCGTAGCTACGCGTTATGTAACCGTGTATCGTCAGAATTAATCTGGAGTTCGACACTGCGGTGTGCTTCTAATCATGCCTTAGTCAATGTGCGTAAAACCTCGTCACTGCATTACAACACTGCAAAGATTTGCACAGACATGAGCAGAGCAAGTGGCCGGTCCATCATGACTGATCTTCTAAGCCAGCAGGTCCTCAGTCATAGATGTTTCGGGAACCCATTTTGGAATAGTGGAATTGATTCGGAGACCCCTTGCAGCGAGTTAGGGGGGGGGGGGGGGTCGTGAATGAAAGCAATACGGTGCGTGGAATAGACGCTCTTAATGTCTACCTGGCAAGCAATGGTCAAACTGAAGTGCCACGCCAATTCGACCTCGGCACCTTGCCGACGAGTTGTATGGTGGGCAGCCACATCCAATATGTTTCTAGCTATGTCAGCTTTTTCAAGTATGCGAGCCAGGCACAAACATGCTCTGCATACGTGTTAAACAACTGCATCAAAATTGTCATTTCGTGAAAGGGCAACACAAGTCAGCTCCACTGCAATGCAGAAATGTTTTGCGGTGAAGCAAATCAGAAGGGGCTGTTATGGGCATAATGTGCCTTTCAAAAACAAATATTTTTTTTTAGCATGGATCTTGTGGACCCCCGTTTCAGAACTACTGTTCAAGGCTACCCACGCTCTTGTTTGATCAGGCGTGCGCTTCGGTTTTCTAGACTGCGTGTTTGCCAATCGTCATAGGGAAAAGTTACCTTGAAATTCAGCAGTTTTCACGCAGAAATGCGAGTGAATGTCATGTTTGATTGTTGCAAGCTGTTCACTCGTTGCTTTGAGTTTATACTTGCTCGAGGCTTCGCCTACTACTACTACTACACTACTATTACTGTACGTCCCCCAACAGGGAATTGTAAGCAGTCAGCTAGCCATCGGAAATTTTCGTCGCATTTAAGGGCTTTTTTTGCTCGCGGCTTCTGATCATTGCGACCACTTCATTCGTTGGTTGGGAGTCATGTTGCTGACGAAATGGTCCTCTTCTGTGCAGTATGGACGAAGCGACAGCTACCGGGTTGCAGTTAACCCAAGGGTTCCCGATGACGGCCGGACACCAGACGGGCGGCCTAGGGCTCGGCGGAAGATTGGGAAGAAGGAAAAAGAACAGAACTTGGATGACCTCAAACAGGAAGTGTCGATGGTGAGTACTCCGTCGAAGAACGCGCTGTTGTGGCGCCGACGTCCGGACGTCGCTTTATATATATATGTATATATATATATATATATATATATATATATATATATATATATATAAATATATTATATATATGACCAAGTTCACGTCTGCGCTATCGTCGCGGTCGACGATAGCAAAAGCAGCCGGCCGCTTTCGGCAGTCACCACATGGTGTGCCGAAAGGTGCGCGCATTAGGTCGATGGACGTCCACTGGACAACCACTTCCGGATGTCTCGGTCGTCCACTGGTCGTCCGCAAATCGCCGATTTGCGTCCGGCGGACATCCGCAGGACTCTAAGGCGCATACTAGTTGGCGATCCAGCGGGAGTCATGCGGGTGTCCAGGGCGGATATGTGGATGTTCAACGGACTTATAGGCCGTTTTATTGTATTATTGTTTTCGTAACCTAATCTCCACAAAATAAGCATTGGGTAAATCGCAGACCATTAGTGGGCGCCTAATCGACCATTCATTTTTATTTGTAATGTTTAATTGGTGCAGCTGGTCACATATGATAGAGCAGGTTTGGTGCAAACAAAAGAACATACAAAACGCAAATGGTGTTTGTCTTGTCTCGTTCACTTTTATGCGGCGACGAGACATGACAAACACCATTTGCGTTTTAATTTCTTCCCGTGTTTGTCTTTGCACCGCACCTCTTCTGTCTATATGACCAGCTGCACCAATCAAGCATTGTAAACAAAAACGAACATCCAACTATGTGTCCAATAATGGTCGGTGATTTACCCAATAAATATCTGGGGGAGTTTGCACACCACTTCCCATGAGAACTTACTAACTATAGTGAGACTTGCATCGTTCCGCACTTTTTCACATTTATATATTCATACGGAAGAACATGTTTCTATGCATTGCAAGCTGTTATATTGCAACTGCCATTAGCTGAAAAGGGTCATGACTTATGCCATCACATTTCCCTGAGGCAGCATGAGGACGCAAACTGTATGTCTCCAAGATCTAACGATTTGGACGCCGACTTCCTGTCTCCTCATAGCATCCACCATGTATGTGTCCCATCTGTTACCGTCCTGTATGTATTTGATATGTAACCGTCTGGTATGTCTTCCAACTGTCACAATTTTGCTACCATGTTTATTTCTACTCAAGTGTGTGTATTGTATGTGTCCTATAAGTAGCCTACCTTTATGCAGTCCAGAAATTAGGCCAGTTGATAGTCTGTATGGTGCTGCATAATGGAGGCGGTTATAAATGGAATGTATATCAACAACCATGTGAAACTACAAAATTATTTCTTTATTTTGATTTACACTGTACAGTTTAGAGCATTCTACAGACAATATTTGAACAGGTAGCGTACATCAGCTGATGGTTGAAGACAAATAAGACCAACAGATCAGCCCAATGAAGCATTGTCACTGTAAAAGTTTTTACTTTTTCAGCATTTTTCTAGGTAATTGAGAGTGCATTTATTTTTCAAAAACACAAACAAATGTTTTGCGTAAGAAAATCATCACAACAGTAACTTCTGACCAGAAGGCTCTTTTCAAGGCATTCGAAACACCATGGAGAGTATACTTCGATAAGCTTTGCACACCCAATTTAGCCATCTGTTGTATAATAATACGTAAAGTATATCACAGTGACTTGTTGAGCTTTATAGGCTAATAACAAATGTATGCAGCCATACAGAGTATAAAAGACAAAACAACCATAATGTCGGAACCAACTCTTGTGGCAATCATTAAATATTGCAATAAATTACGAATGTGATAAACGCCATCAGTGCACTAGCAGACATACCTGGTTGGCACCTTTTGCTCTTCCCCATCAAAGGTACCTTTGATGGGGAAGACCAAAAGGGGTAAATGTTCGCACGTGGAAGTTAAAAGGAGGGAGCGAATTTTTTTACTATCTCTCGTCTATAATTTCATCCAGTTTGCTTCTTTTAAAGGTTTGAGATCCGTACCGCGGCTTGGATGGCTAGATATCCCCGGAACACCTCTAGCAAGCGGATGCACATACTGTACAAACGGCGCATATGAATGGACCTTCAAAATGGCGCGATGATCCTGTCACCCCCTTGCTGGTCGAGGCTCAGTGCATAACCCTATCACAGCCGCCGAGATCGGTGCGCAAGTCAAGTGGCCGTACACTCCAGGGAGCGAAGCATTTGTTGCGCAGTCTGTTCGCGTTGGAGAGCTCAACGTGTTTAAGAGCATACAAGCTGTCTCTCGGCAGTCTCTGATGTCTGCCGAAATGGCGCGTGCGCCAGTGATCGCGACCGTGCCGTCAAAGTTCACAATTGCTAAACTAGCGACCCCCCTCCTCTCCTTAATACTCCTTGAAGACATGTAGGGCGTTCTTCTCTGCTTGAGTGGTGGCTGGCCTGGCACGCGGAGTGATATTGCATGCGCCTTCCGGCAATGGTGATAGATCGGCTCTTACCATCTCTGCTTTAGCGGTGTTCGTTGCCCCAGCTCGCACGCTTTGACCTGCGTGTAAAACGCAGGATGTGCAAGTAGATTTTACCTATTTGAACACAACCTGAAGGCAATGGCAAAAATCAGTCGAGAATGTTCATATAAATGCTATCGCAATGAAAACAACGGTTTTCACCTTCGAGTCACCTTAGGCCAATGCACAAGGTGAGGATTTTTTTTTTTTTTTTTTTCAGTGCTCTCTAGAGAGCACAAGGAGGTTTTGTTGTAAAGCCAGAACGCGCTAGCCATATACAGTTTCCCTGCAAAAATGGTCTTGGCTGGTTTGTTAAATCACGTAGTCCGCCTTTGAATGCACACTTCGACACTTTTGAGAAAGCGCGGTTGATGCGTATATTTATATAGGGGAAACTCCGCGCATGAGCAAATGATAGGCTGAAAGCACCAAGAGTGCTCTTTTTTCAGAACAGAGACATCAGACATAAGGAAGGGAGTGTTGGACGAGCTTGGCTATATGAGGCGAGCCAATTAGGTGACTTCATGTCTCGCCCAGGAATATGATCGATCATGAAAAAAAGGAACATCTTCTTGCAGTCGTCTTAGGGAAATTTATTTGGAAAGTGAGAGTCTTGAGCGTTGAGGCATTCTTGTGGGTCATGGCATTTGTTTACAATGTCCGCTGATAACCACATAGATGTACATATTTATTGAATCAGTAATCTTTTGTAATTTGCACCGAAAATAATCGCTGAACAAGTTGTTCCAGAATGCACAAATGTATAACGACATTGACTTTACATCATCCAGTGAAATGGGGAGTTTTGCTGAGATGATTGACTGCATGAAGTTTGCAATGAACCAAAATATTTTCTAGCTCTTAACGTCCCGACCATAATTCATGTCATTAAGTGTAAATGCAACTTGCTTCTCCTGCATACTTCAAGATGTGAGTTATGTACTCTAGAATGCCCCCAGATGCAAAATTACCTGCTCCAAAATGGAAAATTTTGCTGCTCCGAAAATTGCTCCATATCTGAAGACCTCAGTAGCATCACTGTAATTGTCATGTTTGGGGACGAAGAGTTGGCAACACAGTTGGCTATGCCTCTGGAAGCTGCACAGCTTGCTATGCAGTGAAGCAATGCCGTTTTCGCCCAGGTTGCTAGTGTCGGCCATTCATCGCAGTGTCATCGATGTGGTGACGTTTCCTTTACCATTTGGTCGCTCAAGTGATTATGGTAGAAGGGCTCGATTTTATTTTTTTTGGAATTGTTAATGTAGTTACTAACCTTACCCCCTGTAATTTTCAGGATGAACACAAAATCCCCATTGAAGAACTTTATGCACGACTTGGCACGAATCCGGCCACAGTGAGTACAACATTTTTTGCCGCTCTTAAAAAACTGAAATGTTTGCATAGATTGTTTCTTAGCGAGCGAATTGAAGTTTATTTATGAAGGAACAGATTGCTGCATGCAGGAAATTTTACATCTCGTCGAAATGGTTTTCTCTTAACTTATGCAACTTCTTTGACACATTGCCAAAAGGCCAAGAAAAAGCTGTGGATTTATTGCAGCATAAAGACATAGGGGTGGGGGTGGTTCACACATCTGCCTAAATGTGAAGGAAGGTTTTTACGTTCTTGCCGTTGCAGTTTAGCTGTAAACTTACAGGCGGTGTTGATCATAAAGTAGCTGGCATTGATCATAAGGTAACTGTATTTTTGTCAGTGAGGTTAGGTGTTAAAAATTAGACAGCTTCTTTTCACACGCAGAGATTTTGTCATGACACACACATGCCTCACCAGGAGTTATATTTATGTGATTTTAGTCTACCAACTTTAGGCATGACTTTTTTGAAGTGCGGACATGTTAGTCTGACGGCTAACCTTATAAGGCTGCTTTTTTTTTTATCATCATGAGAAGTGTGCGCTAAATCTTCGGCAATCTTTCTGGGAACTTATGGGTATACTTTATTTCCTGGATTTTTGTTGCTGTTTTTATGGTATGAACATTATTTTATCGGTATAAGGTGTAGATGTGATGTGTGTGCAGTCATCTTGATTTGTCACGGGGTCATGACGTGGCCGAAGACAGGAGACTTTATGTTGGGATTTAACTGTTTATATGGGTGAACCTGTGCCCGGTAAACAGAAAGTTCGATTACAGTAGCAGTCTTGCACAGATAGCAGTGAACGGAGCGTCGGCCGTCGATCAACTACTGACAATTGGCCAAGTGCGTTTGCATTTATACTCTTGCCATCGAATGTTCTATCGTTATCGCTGGTGATGGCGTAGGTTCCAGAATAATCTCTACAGTTCGCAGAGTGGGCGTGATCTTATCGAATGATCTACTAACGTCCGGAAGCTTCTCGAAAACTGCACGCGCGTTTTGCGCTGAGAATTGTGTAGTGTTTTGGGGCGATAACAAAACTTGAGCAATGGAACGTGGCATTATTTTATGCGCAGTATTTCTTGATGCATTTGTTGTATTCTTTGCTTCTACATTCCAACAGGGCCTCACATCACAACAAGCTAGGGAAATTTTGGAAAGGGATGGCCCAAACTCTTTAACGCCCCCTAAGAAAACACCAGAATGGGTCAAATTCTGTAAGAACCTCTTTGGGGGTTTCTCCTTACTACTGTGGATCGGCGCAGTGCTCTGCTTCATCGCATATTCAATCCAGGCAGGCACATTCGAGGAACCGCCCGATGATAATGTGAGTATTAACGACTGTCCCCAATCATGTTACCTTTTATTTACTGTTTTTGGGGGGAGGGTGTAAGTGGGTAAGGGGTACAGCAGAGGGAAGAAAAAAGTTAATTTATCCACGAGGTCCAAGCAGCGAATGCGATGGCCGCAAATTAGAATGCTATACGAAGAATGCCTAACAACTAACTCCTTTACCCTCTGTTGCGGAGTAACTCATTAAAATGTTGGCGTGAGGGAGTGAACGAATAATAAGCGAAGCGACCTTCGTTCGGTCTATGGCTCGAATACAACTAAAGTGGCAAAAACATAGCATGCGTAAAAGTATAAGCTTCGTTAATCCCTGTCTAGATAGACAGACTGAGCAACCGAGCGTTGCCGATCGAAGTACTCGTTTTCCACCGAAGTGACGCAGCCCTCTTGCCCTAGCTGGAACACACCCGCACTGACTTTCCGCGTGGCGAAAGACGGCTAGTGCATGTCCTCTGCTTGAGCTGCAATCCTCGGCTACCACTGTGTGCTCTTTATTAGCACATGGAATATAGGACATGTGGGGCAATGTTATCAATTTGGAATTTATGCAGAACATCACGACGACAATATTAGTGCGTTTGGAGTGTCCATGTATATGCCACTGCAATAATGTTATAGCGAGCAAGGTGTCGACTAAACCAGAAAAGTTGCGATGCCACAGAATTATGAACTTAGAAAAGCACTCTTTTCAAGTGCTCTTCCTCTTCCGACAGTCGGAGTGAATAGCTCGTAATTTGTGTTCGGGCGCTCCGTTATGAAAGGTGTTTGCTTTCCCTATTGTAATAGAATAATTTGTAAAATAAGCCAATTGCTGTGGTACGTAATTTTTTTGTACACATTTTTCTGGGTGCATAGTTTTCGTTAAATTGGGCACAATGGTGATTCTGCGCATTTGGTTGCTCAAAGGGCATGTGTGTGCGAAAGTGAACTCTTGCCTGCATGTCAACAGATGGCAGCTTTACCTGCTGCACGCATGTTGTCAGGTGAAGCTGATGTTTTGTATCAACGAATGGAACCTGCTAATGGGTCCTGTCCGATTTCATCGTATCTTAACTGGTGTTAAAAAAATGTAGCGAGTTCAGGTTTAATGCATTCAAATTTGCAGGCGCGTGAATGTTAAAAAGAGCAGTCAGCCGATTATGTGTGCTGTCGGGTGAAGCTTAGTTTTAGTATAGTTGAATCGGTGAATGAGTGCCGTCAAGTATAGTTGAATCTGTGAATGAGTGCCGTCAAGTTTTGTTGTTCTGCAGCAGATGTCTTTAGTAGCAAATATGCAGGTTTAAGGTGCTAAATATACGGGTCATTCATTATGCTGTAATATTACAATTGAATGCTGTGCTTGGAGCACCCAAATCTCCTTAGAGGTTAGCTCCTATGAAGTCTGCTTTTTCCTCATCATCATCATGATCATATATCATCATCATAAACAGTCTTGATTATTAAGAAGCTTAACAGAAATATTAGTACCAGGAAGTTCACCGGACCCAAGTTTTTCTGCAGAACGTACGGAAGCGTATAGACACCATATTTTTCTAGCTTGTGTAGAGGGCGAAGCTGTTGAAAATGTGACAGAAATTAAGTAGATTTACAGATTTGTACAAATATTTGATGCCATTATTAAGTTTAAAAATCGCTTCAGCTTACAGAGCAGCATATTTTGACTTTAGTCGGTTGGTATCAGTGTAGCAGCATTACAACAAATGTGTTATATACTAAAGATTTCATTACATTGTAAATGGCTGCTGCTGGGTGAACAAGTTCGCTGTCATATTCTTCAATTAGGATACATTTAGTTTTGCTCTGTTTAAAGATTTTTGGCGATGTTCAAATACATCACAATCTGGAGACTAGTGCTTGTGTGTTTCAGTTCTTTTCGCATCTGTGTGAACCTAAATCTACTTGTTCAATTCTTGTGATAGAGGTGGCCATCTCAAACGATGCCTGTATGTGCTGCGAACACGAAAAGAATTCTCTCCGAATGTCTTGCTTTGAAAGCCTGCCTTTGTATACTCAGTGTCCTGAACATTGCATCATATTGGCGATGTTTCTTTTTCTCTTTTTAGTTGTACCTGGGAGCAGTATTGGCCATTGTAGTTATTGTAACAGGTTGTTTCTCCTACTATCAAGAAGCCAGGAGTTCAAAAATTATGGAGTCTTTCAAAAACATGGTTCCACAGGTGGGTGCTGTACTAGTACTTCACACAGGCCTCTTGCTCATGAATTTCTTCGCTACAGAATATTGCAATGTTCAGACTGCGTTGCTCGAATCTTTCTAAGGTAAACAGTGCAGTGTATTGAACAAAATTGTATCTATGTGTGAAATCGGTAAATCTGTAGTCAAGTTGACTTCTTGGCACAGTCTGGCAAGAGATTTGCGAGATGCACTGATACTTATGAAACTATACTGTGCAGCCAAGCACACCTCTTTTTGCAATGCGCGGAAGTTTTAGTGACATACTGTGGTTCAAAAGATCTGTCATAATATAAATCCAGTTGTCTACACGTAACTGCCCAAGGATGTGCGGCCCTGCAGAACGCATAAATGTACAGTTTTTTGCCATGTCATGCAGTGTGCTGGCACAAAGCAAAGCTTCATATGACACTACTTGGTGCACTCTTGTTGATTTCTGCACTTTTCATAGCTCATTGCTAATTCACTGCAGTAAGTCGCATTTGCCAATACGCTGAATCACGAAGCAAATTTTTAACTCTGCGACTCACCTTATATGCATTAGCCTATTTCTGGTGTGAGCAATGGACACATAAACAGCATGTTGCCTTGTACTTGATACCATGAGCAATCTTTAGGACGGACTGCAGTGCAACATGCAAAGCTTTGTACGAGTGCCACCTACACACTGAAAGAAAATGGTCTAACTGTTTACGTTATAAATTTCCTGTGGGCTATGAATATCTAAGAATGTGGTAGAAGTGTGCAAAGGCTGAAGAATAGCAAGACTGGGCATAGGTTGACACCCACAGTTATTCAATCATATGAGTTTTGAAACTCCCCATAGGCTCCATGTATTGAAATACAGAGACGTCGGTGCCCCCCTCCTTGTCGGAAGTGAGCAGATTGTCGCGCCACCTGTTGATCCACATGCCCACTATTAAACATATTATTTGCATTTTGTGTTGCGGCTCTCAGGTGGGGCGAAAAATTGGGCGAACTGCGTGTCCGAATTTTGGAACAGTTTTGCAACTCGTATAATTGAATAAATCTGGTTTACACCATTCTTCCACCATTTTATTTCTCATTCCTCATTACTGCAACTAGATTCCCACAAATGAGTACCTATCTATTCATGAATGAATTCTTGTGAAATACTAACATGGCCAACGTTGTGTTTTCTCAATACTGCTTCCAGTATGCCATAGTGATCCGTGATGGACAAAAGTTGCACCTTCCCGCTGAGGAGGTTGTGGTTGGAGACGTGGCCGAGGTTAAGGGTGGTGATCGAATTCCTGCCGACATGCGGGTCATCCAAGCACAAGGTTTTAAAGTGGACAACTCATCCCTGACCGGAGAATCTGAGCCCCAGACGCGCTCGCCAGAGCTTACGAACGATAATCCACTGGAAACGAGGAACTTGGCATTCTTCTCCACCAACTGTGTTGAAGGTGGGTGGGCAAGTAGCCTGTGGTAGCTCTTGATGGTGTGAAAGTATGAGCATAACCCTGAACTCGTCAACCATCTGCTTCCATCTGCTTCAGCAGGTGATCTACACAAACACCGTAGTTTCTGTAGGATTTTGCGGCTGGTCATGGTATTGTAGGTTCACTTCCCATGTTGAACATCATGAAAAATACAGCTGCTTTACGAAATGTGCAGAATTAACTCGCAAGCTAAACATTTTGGGGTGGGGGTCTGACTTCCTTCCGTGTATGTTTGTGTGTGTGTATATGTCTACATGTATGTCGATACATACAAAGCTTTAAAATTTTGGGGGTGGGTCCAGGGTGTTGATGACCCCCTCCTTCGGTATGGATCTCTGGCTATGCTATTGGCACAAATGTTTGATTACATAGATTTAATAGTTTTAAAGGCAGTCAAGGTTGTCTATCGCCTTATACCCCCCCCCCCCCCGAATAGCTTGGAAAGGGAAAAAAAGTGTTTAAAATGGGAGAAAGAATACAGGGTGGTATTGCAGTGTTTTTGTTTGTCATCCTGTTGTAAGTGCTGCTGTCTTCATTTTTCAAGATGTCTACCAACCACTCTTCCTAGCACTGCTTGTTATCACGTCACTGATCACTCACCCCCTGTGCAGGTACGGGAATGGGTGTGGTGATCAACACTGGTGACCGTACTGTAATGGGCCGCATTGCGAACCTGGCATCTGGCCTCGAGATGGGTGAAACGCCCATTGCCAGGGAGATCGCCCACTTCATCCACCTGATCACCGGAGTCGCTGTGTTCCTGGGAGTGACCTTCTTTGTCATTGCCTTCATCTTGGGCTACCACTGGCTAGATGCCGTCATCTTCCTCATCGGTATCATCGTGGCCAACGTGCCAGAAGGTCTCCTGGCCACTGTCACCGTGAGTACAAGTCCCACTTAACGTGTCAGATATTTAATTCATCAATTTCTCTTTTTATTTTATATTCAAATCTTATTCCATGGCTGTACTCCATTGATGATGTGTCGGCCAGTGTACTATATTGATTAAGGAGTGATTTTTATGATTTTGATTTGTTATACTTGCTATCAACATTAATATGCTCTGTACGCAACACAATTTTACCCATAGCTATCTATTCCATCACAGTGAAACCTTTTAAAGCTACACCTTTGTCAAGCTTTTGTTATATGTCCACTATTTATCGTAGCATTCATTCATTACATTATGTCAAGTTAAACATTCTATATTTACTTTGTCTAATCATTTATAACATCAAGACTTGAAAGGGTATCACATTTTAAGGCCTAATTAAGTGCCCTTTTTTGTTTAATCTTCTTCAGTTTAATGCAGGTAAATGTTACATAGATTTTTACTCTTGAGCTCATAGGAGGAGACATTAAATAAGTTGCTGCCCATTTTGTAGACTTGAAGGCTAACATTGTATATGTTATGCAGGTCTGTCTCACCCTTACTGCCAAGCGTATGGCTGCCAAAAACTGCCTCGTGAAGAACTTGGAAGCTGTCGAGACCCTTGGGTCAACCTCAACCATCTGCTCTGACAAGACTGGCACCCTGACACAGAACCGCATGACTGTTGCCCACATGTGGTTTGACAACCAGATCATCGAAGCTGATACTACAGAAGATCAATCCGGTGGGTTAGCATACTTGCATGTGCCTTTCCTTTTGTCCTATGCATACCTATTTTTTCTGCCTGCCAAATGAGATTAGAAATAGCGCAGCATGGTTAAAAAAAAAAAACTGTTCTCTAGGCACGATTTGGTCACTTCGTCCGCATATCAGGGGAGCATTTCAAGATATCTGGGTGTCATGTGCTGGTAGTGTGCAAATCTTGTCTACAGTACGGGTTCATACTGGACCTGCAGAATCAATAGGCTTCGTGAAGGGTGCTATGAAAATTCCCTAGCGGTAAAAATGATTGCAACCCAAGCCCATTTTATCCCTATCAAATATTGACTTGTCTATAAACCTAATTTATGAACTTGAAAAGGGCAATTCGCATTACTTTATGCTGCATCTGTACATGAAAAGTCTGTCTGTGAGCACGGGTAACATCCTTGCCCTCCACACCCCCCTCCCCCCTTCTCGTCCTCCTCGTGTGCTGAAGGCACATTAGCGGAAGGAGGTTCCGTGGCACTCTCCAAGCATTTCAGCTTCAAGGCCTGAAAGCATGATAAATCCTAGTCTATATACTTCTTGTGCTAGGCCTTGTGAAAAAATGGATTAAGTAGAAATGAGCCACTGTGGTGAAGAGTTATATTGGGAGGCTAGTGCAAAGATTGCTTCAAGGGATTAGTCCCTTCGATTAAGCAGTGGCTCTAGTCTTAGGCATTCTCTTCTTAATTATTTTATATCTGAGAGCATTTCTTTGACCTCATTGTTTGGCCTAGATACAATTAACACCTGGAAAGACTACATGAAAACTATCCCAGACGTGAAATCGTAAGAGAAATACGCACCTAGAGGCACTTGCTTCACAGTGCGTATATGTACTACTTGCTTCTGCCCTTTTGTCTCGTATCATACACACACGCACACGTGCAAGTAGACATAGTGAAGTTGTTAAGTGTCTGTAGTGTGTCTGGTTTTCTTTCTCTGTATATTTTATTGGTAATAAAGAATTCATAATTATTCATCATTATGGCCCAATTTAGTGCTTCACTTCAGTGTCCCTTCAGACCCCATTGATATTTAACACAATTTTTTTTCTCACCTGACTTGCCGCGGTGGTCTTCTGGTTATGTGCTTAACTGCTGACCTCAATGTCGTGGGATCATATCGTGGCCACAACAGCCGAATTTCAGTGAAGACTAAATGCTACAGGCCCATGCGCGATTTAGGTGCTCAATAAAGAACCCCAGGTGGTCGAAATTTTCGGATTCCATCAGTACAGAGTCCCTTGTAATAATATCATTGGATGTAAAACCCCAACTGTTATTTTTATTTTCTCATTCCGATTCCTTTTTCTCACAATCTGGCTGCAGGCGTCCAGTATGACAGGTCCTCCGCTGGATGGAAGGCGCTTGCCCGCAACTGCTGCCTCTGCAGCAGGGCAGAGTTCAAGGCTGGACAGGAGAACGTCCCTATTCTCAAGCGAGAATGTACAGGTGATGCATCGGAGTCCGCCATTCTCAAGTGCATGGAGCTTGCCATCGGCAGCGTTGCCGCTTACAGGCAACGCAACCCCAAGGTCTGCGAGATCCCCTTCAATTCCACCAACAAGTACCACGTGAGTCTTTTTCTGTCTTTGCTGTGTCTCTGCTGTTAGCGAATTGCATTCCAGATTTCAGCCCCTTGTGGAAGTCGCAGGCTATTCATCTTGGTTGAATGTGCAGCGTGGCACAGACTAGGCATGAAGAGTAGGTGTGGACATGTGCGAATAGCAAATTTTAGGTTTAAAGCACATTTGAAGTGAATAGGGATTTCTATGTAGTAATTTTGATTCCAATTCTCATGGTATATATGGCATTTTATAAAGGAAAATTAGCATATTTGTCATGATTCAAATAACCAGCACAGTATTATTTTTTTATTGGAACAAGACATGCACAAACGTCATTTTTTTGGGTTCAAAGAGAAATGGAATCAACTTTGAATGGTGTCTTGGTTTGACTTCAGATAGAGTAGAAGTGATAACGTGTAAAATATGTCATGTTTTAATGATGTCGTGGTTTGACTTAAGATGGAGTAGAAAGGATAACGTGTAAAATATGTCATGTTTTAAAATTAACTTTGAGCATATAAGCTGGTATGAGAAGCATTTAAGCTCCAAAAAATTATGAATTGATGGGAGTGCAATATGTTCATTTAGCCTATAAGTGGAGCCTCACGGAAGCGGGAATTTTTCTTAGGTGTACTCATGGGTACAGCATCCTCTACTGCAGGAAATTTCGAAATTTTTCGAATACTCATATATACTTAATATTTTGATTGTGCTCGCAATAAACTTTGACTGGTCTGTTAGGGTACATGTTGTTGAACTCTTCATCCGTCATTTGTGCCACTCTGCACATTCAAACAAATGTGTTAACGCACTAACTTGCCATGTTAATCCTGATTGCCATAACTTGACTTTTTTTTTTCTTTCCTCTTGTGTTGAGTTTTCTCTTTGTACAGTCCCTGCATTGCACCTGGTGGCAGTAGGCGGTCTGTGCTTAGTCATTGTACCAGTCTTTTATACTGTCTTAACTTTTCTGTTGATTTCCTTAAATTTTGTACTCGGTGGTAACCAAAGTGAACTTCATGCACAAAGCCAAACTGCACCTGCTCCTCCTTGCTCAAAAACATCAGTTCCTATGTGACACCAATATCGAAACATGTTTGTCTAGGCTGCAGTGTCATTGATTCTAGTGTACAAACTGAACATTAATCATGTTGATGGATGTTTATGTTAAAATTGGAGTAGACACAGAGAAGCGGAAAATTGTCCTTCAACTCTTCTGTATCATTGTCCTTTGTACATGCTCAGATTTCACCATACAAATGCAGAGTGTTTGGAGTCCCTTGTGTTACTGACCAGACAGTACTGTACCACTTGCATGTTTCCTAGGATCATAAGGCCATGCTTATTAGAGCACTGCTATTAGTTCACTAATTAAGACCATACTAATTAAGACCTTGCTGATAATTCAGATTGGCCTTAAGCTTCACTGTCGGTCCAACCTTGCATTACAAGTGCGAGCTGCCAACCTTTTTTTTCTTTTGTGAGGCATCCTTCTTATAGTTCAAGGTTTCGAATTCTTAATGTTGGCCATTATTTTTCAGGTAACTGTGCACGAAACTGAAGAACCAGATGACCCCAGCTACGTTCTCCTCATGAAGGGTGCCCCTGAGCGTATTCTCGACCGTTGCTCCACCATCTTTATCAACGGCAAAGAGAAGGTGCTCGACGAAGAGATGAAGGAAGCTTTCAACAACGCCTACTTAGAACTGGGAGGCCTTGGAGAGCGTGTCATTGGTGAGGCTAGTTGCAACATTCCTAGACTACATGCAACAGGTTCCGCAAGTAGCCTGCGAATGTGGATTGCAGACTCAAACCGAAATAATTTGTATGGTCTGTCTACTTCACAGTATTACTACAGCACACCCTTTGCTCGAGAAAATAATGCAGTAACTACGTTTATATTCTCCACAACCTTTTTTCTTGTAAGCCTGTATTGTAAACCACAAGGATTTTCTACTAGGAGAAGTTAGAAGAGGTTAACTTATAGTGTTTCATGTACAGTGTTCACGTGAAGTTTTTCTCACGTAAGGTGTTCTTATTGAAACACTCGCATCAATCTTTAGAATTGAAACACTCGAATCGTTCTTTAGACACAAGTCGTCAACAGAATTTTTCTTCTTACCATCAAATGGAAACGCATTAGCGAGTGAGCTTTCTGTGCCATTGCACACGCACACAAAAGCTTGACCACATTTCTTCTGCAGGCACATTCTGGAAACAAGGCATGTGGTTTAAATGTATAATGTACATTTTTTTCACTGGACAAAAAATGTTTGTTTGTTTTTTCCAGTGAGGTTTGAAGCTCGAGTCAAGAGTGCAGGATATGCAGACATTTTAGTTGGTACACTGGTTTCACAATATTGCAAGGAGCTAGGTTCACACCAATACACAATCTTTTTTTTTTTTTTTATGTTTCTCCGGTTATAGCTGGGTGTGCACGTAATATGCAGGAATGGGCTATACACAAATAGTGGTAGCTTTTCTTTTTCTTTGTTTAAGCTTATCATGTACCAGTTTTGTAGGGATAGACTTAAATCCCAGCACCTACCTTCTAGCTGCAAATTACAACACCTAAATTTATATTTTCCCCATCAATTAGGCTTTTGCGACTACAAGCTGCCTACAGACAAGTACCCACCCGGATACCCCTTCGATGCCGACGAACAGAACTTCCCACTCACTGGACTTCGTTTTCTTGGTCTCGTCTCCATGATTGACCCGCCACGTGCTGCTGTTCCCGATGCTGTTGCCAAATGCCGAAGTGCCGGCATCAAGGTATGGCCAAACTGGCGTACTTTAACTTTAGGAAAGTATGTTTCAATGAAAGGCTCTCATGTGTTATTACATAAATCACTTAACGAGCTTGAAGCGAACTGAGGTAACCATTGTCTTCTGTGCTCAGCATCGCACAAAAAGAATGCTCTGTCAATTGATGGCTCATCGGATGCTCTATTTGTTACTGAAGGTGAGGATGAAATGAAATAATCATTTTATTGAAAGGAAGTTCACCAAATTAGAACACTGCACACAGCCCTGGAGCAGTGTCTGGCACCTGACTTTATTTGTTACAACTAAACTTGAGATCTATGCACCTGTGCATGTGTCTGTTTTGTTCAATTAGTCTCACGCTGTTGAATTTGACATTGTGTTTAGCTCAGACGTGGCCTAGTGGTTGCTATGTGATTAGACAATTGTCACAAAAAAAAAAGTTGCCTTTTTATAAATTGACTCGTCTGCGTTGTGCTTGGGAGCGATCCTGATATATTTGTCATGCATGGTTATTTGGCTGACTGCGCTTCATTGCAGATCTTCGCCTTGGCGTTTTATTGAATCTCGGCATATTCGACCAATCGCTCATTGGTGTTTTCGAAGCACTGTAATGACTTCACAAAGTGGCGAAGGAGCTGTATCACGCAGAGCTTGAGCAATATCATTCTGGCCTTGGTCAATGCTATTGGTCATGGTAATGCTATGCGAACATTATCGTCAGCTCCACAGCCGGGCTGTCATTAAAAAATTACCGTATTTACTCGCATAATAGGCGCACCTTTTTTTCAGAAAATCCGGCTCGAAGTTAGAGGTGCGCCAATTACGCGGGGTAAAATTTTGGAAAATTTTTTCAACTCGGTTCTCGCGCTTTATGTCTGCACACTTGTCAAGTAAAAGGCGACTTTATCGTTTACCAATTAATTCAGCATAAAACAAACATACCTACGTACCTATGAACAAGCGAGAGCCGTCAACTGCACACACACACGTAAAATTTATTTACACAAAAGTCGTAGCTGTTCCTCCTTTTCCCTATTCGGAGTCCGAGTCGGAGATCACACATTCATCCTCGCCGAGCGGGGATTCGTTTTCGGTGTCCGAATCATCCACACCCCACAACATGTCATCCTCACTCGCATCCAGTGCGTTCGAGATACCCGTCTTCTTGAAGCTTTTCCTGACGACTTCGTCGGAGATCGCCTGCCACGCTTCCACGACCCAAGCGCACAGCATTTCCACAGGTGGCCTCTTAATCTTACTACCTGGAGTCAGCTGATGTTGTCCTCAAGCCATCCAGGTGGTGTACAGCCTTCGAACATTGTCCTTGAAAGGTTGATTCAAGGACACGTCCAAAGGCTGCAGTATCGATGTGAGGCCGCCCGGAATCACTGCCAGATCTGTGCGCAGCTCCTTTAGCTTATCTCGTACGCGGTCTACTAGGTGCCCACGAAAACTGTCCAGGACAAGCATGGACGGCAACAACAGACCACCCGGCCGCCGACCCCAGACTGTTTTCACCCAATCCACCATGAGTTCCGCGCTCATCTAGCCTTTTTCCTGGACTCTGACATAGATGCCTTGAGAGAATTTTGCCTTTGGGAGCGTCTTGCGTTTAAAAATAACGTAAGGCGGTAGCTTACGCCCATCCGCTGTCACCGCCAGCATTACGGTGCATCGTTGTTTATCAGCGCCAGACGTTCTGATGGTGACGCTCTATGCACCTTTCTCCTCCACTGTCATGTTCCACGGCATATCAAAGCAAAGGGGGGTCTGATCAGCGTTGCCGATCTGGGACAAAATGAAGTCTTTCTGCTGTCGGAGCTTTATAACGAAACTGTGCAAGTCCACCACTTTGTCCTCCGGAGCTGGCTTTGAACACTTTTGCTTCGATGCCCTGCGCTAGGGCTATTCTGCGCGCCTCAGTCTGCACAATATCCAACGACACAGCACAGCTGTCTTGTCGTAGCTCCCGTATATGCCGGACCAGTTGCTCTTCGACGTTCGGATACCTGCCGGTCTTGGCACCGCGAAAAGCGCGTGGTGTCTTCTTCGTCGCCTTAAGTTTTTCTTCTTGGTCCCTCCAGTACCGAATACTGGTTTCTCCAACGCCGAAATGCCTTCTTGCAGCCCGGTTGCCGTGCTCCAGCGCGTACTGCACTGCCTTCAGTTTAAACCCAGCCGTGTAGCTCGCGTACTTCCCCATGGTGGAACCAAAGTTCAATACACGACCACAACATACGCACACCGCTTGCAAAATGGCGTTTCTTTCTTTTTCTCTGATGGTGGTGATGGGGATCGAGCCCCCGGCGTTGTACACGTGACCTCCAAAAAGCGCGGTGATTTGGGGGGTATCAGTAATTGATGGAACAGCCGTTTTTTTTTTTTCGCTCATGGACGCTTTTTTTTTTTTTCAAGTTTTATTTCGACAAACACGTTGGTTAAGTTGTTGCACTTCAAATTTTTTTTATTTGCTCGTCGATTTGCCTTCTTTTTTTATTCAGGGTACGGGGACCGCGTTCCAACTGTACCGCTGGGGGGTAGAATCGTTTCTGATCACGGCCAAGTTCGGGGTGCGCCTATTATGCGCGGAATTTTAAAAAATCGAATTTTCCGCGACCAAACTAGGGGTGCGCCTATTATGCGAGTGCACCGATTATGCGAGTAAATACGGTAGTTATCAACTGCACTGTATGTCTAACTGTGAAGGGAAATCGACAACCATCTGCATGAAGTCAAAAGGGAATTAAATTTTCCTCTCTCAATTATGCTACCTTGCAGTATTCCGGAGAACTAACTTGTGATACCAATATGCCGTAAACGTTCCTCTCTCCCTGCTCCATAGGTTATCATGGTGACTGGTGACCACCCGATCACTGCCAAAGCCATCGCCAAGGCTGTTGGAATCATTTCCGAGGGTAACGAAACCGTGGAGGACATTGCACAGCGACTGAACGTGCCCGTGGAAGAAGTGAACCCACGGGACGCCAAAGCGGCCGTGATCCATGGCTCGGAACTGAGAGACATCAGCCCTGAACAGTTGGACGACATTCTGCGCCACCACACCGAAATAGTCTTCGCCCGAACCTCGCCACAGCAGAAGCTCATCATTGTAGAGGGCTGCCAACGCCTGGGAGCCATTGTGGCCGTGACTGGAGATGGCGTCAACGACTCACCTGCCCTCAAGAAGGCTGATATTGGCAAGTCATTTGTATTATGCATGATTGTGCACAATGCATGCTTTGGCGTGCTGTTTGAGTGTAGCGAGTGTAAAGTGTAGCGTTGTGACATAGCTAGAGAGCAACCGAAGTCGGACGGCACACTTTCATAAAAATCTGCTTGCTTGGGTACGTGGCATGTGTGGTTCAAACATAGCATGATAAAAAAACCAACTAGCCTGCAAACGCACTGTGGGTTGATTTCACGCATGTTTCCACAGTTAATTTTGAGTGTTGTGGTGGTGACATTTGATAATAGCAACTCGCGACCCCTACCAAACGCTTGACCTGGCGATCAAAGTCTAAAGTCTTGAAAGAACTTGACCAGGGAGGCACCACCAAGCAAGACGTCGTACAAAAGTACGGCGTTAGGCCTAAACAGCTGAACTCGACAATGGTAGTTTTCAGGCTGTTCCTAGTGATGTCCTTTTTTGGAAAATTCATCGTCGTGGACAGCAACGTCGACACTTGCAGTCTATTATCGAATAGAAAAATTTTGCAGATGTTAGGTTAGTAGATGATGACATAGAAACAAACTGCCACCGAGGACTACCTTGCTGGACTACCGAAGTTGCTCGGATCTTGCTTTTGCGCTGCTGTTTTTATGTTTTGTTGTAGAAGATAATGCTGAAGAAGCACTTCGACATGAGTAGTGCTTCGAAAACTTGCTAGCCGCTGCCAAGTTCGGCAAAAGGAGATGACAAACTATTTTCTTGGAGAAGTGTCGGGTTTGAAGCAATAAAAGTTAATTTTTCGTGTATTTTGTTTAATTGAAAGTTAATTTCATTCAGTTCTTCGTGGTTCCCGTGAACTTTGTTTTAATGGGAGTCGACTGTATCTCCAATCCTGGCAGTAGCACTAAAATGGAACTAAATGTGCCTTTTGCCAACATCAAATTTATGGAAGGCAATTTAATGGAAGGGTATTGCGTCGCTGAAACTGATGAATGGTCCGACAGACTAGTGTTGACTGGGAGGTCTACACTACTCGACTTGGTAACTAGAATGCCACAAAACCTAAGTACTTTCACTGCTAGAGGGACCATTAACTGAGAAAAAAAAATCTTCAATAATAATGGTAAGCGGCAAGACCAAAACTGTGCATGCATAATGAACCGGTTCAAATAAAGTAGTGTTATTATGCTGAACTTGTACTAAGCACTTCAAATATTTCGAACTGTCGCCACCAAGAGCTTATAGATAGCTGCCGTACTAATGCACTCAAGTGTTGCATGGCTTGTAACATAAGGACATGTAAAAACCGGTTCTTACCGATTCTTATAGCAAGTACCCTGCTTCCTCATATGCATGTACTTCGACTTATGTGCACGTAACGATGCATATAATGTAACTGCATATTCGTGATTGTGATGATTTCTCAGGGCTTATACTAGTAGGAATGTTCTACTATCTTTCAAATTGTTACTGTAAAATGCCATGCTAGGTGCAGAATTGAAATTATTGGACATTAAAGGAACCAAATTACCACTTCAAACATCAGACCAGAGGTTCTACATAGTTTTTCACTTCCTTGGTTTTTGCTTTGTTGCCTCATTGTGTTTAAATATCGCTGTCACTTGCCCCTTGACTTCTCTGACTCGGCCACCCCCAAATTATTACAAAAATGCTGTGTTGAGCAAGGCTCATTGAGGTCTCGCTTCTTATGTTTTCAGGTGTCGCCATGGGTATTGCTGGGAGCGACGTGAGTAAGCAGGCAGCCGACATGATTCTTTTGGACGACAACTTTGCCTCCATTGTCACCGGTGTTGAAGAAGGTGGGTAGTTCCTGCTACTTCAATTAGCTCTGTTCTCTTCGAGTGGTTATGTGAAATGCTGTAATATTTTTTTGACACTCGCAGTTAATGTTCTGTGTTCCTGGAATGTCTCGACAGGCAGATAGTACATTTTTGCGTTAATCCTGATAATTTTGTAGTAGCTATCCTTGTAATTCACCCCCTCCCAGCATGTACAGACTCTCCATGAAGGGAGGTTTCTTAAACAGAACTGCTGCATAAACAGAGCAACTGCCTCTTGTACAATTGGATTCATACTTGTATTCTGCACCCCTGTTCATCCCGCATTAAACAGAGCTCCTGTTAAATGGAACACATTTTTCTCGTCCATTCAGATTTTGTTTAACGAGAATCTACTGTATATGAATACGGCACATTTTCAAACACATATCGAGATAAGAGTTTCGCTCACAAAAGAGTGCCATCTTTTTTTTTTCTCTGTTTACAAAGGTCCAGCTTTGTGGCCAGATTTTCAACTCTTCCTTCCTGCTTTCTGTCCCCGCAGGTCGTCTGATCTTTGACAACCTGAAGAAGTCCATTGCATACACCCTGACCAGTAATATTCCTGAAATCAGTCCTTTCCTGTTGTTCATCTTGGCTGATGTGCCCTTGCCTTTGGGAACCGTTACCATCCTGTGCATTGATTTGGGAACTGACATGGTAAGTCAGTGCATCTGCGTCGTCGTCTCGTGCGTAGAAAGTGAAATTTCGGCTGCATGTTCCTTTCAAGCCCTGTTTCAGGGTAGCAAAGGAGGCTCTCTAAATCGATGAACTCGGGTTTTTGTGGCTTGTTACTCAAGGTGCATTCTATATTGAATGCTGATAAAGTGGAAGATGAACTGCCACTTCTAGCTGTCTGGATTTTTCTGTCGTGAAGCATGGGGAAATGGTGAAGACTAATCACTGTGCAAATATTTAGTGAAATATTTGATTCAGTACAGAAGCAGTTAAAAAAAAAATATCCTCTAATAAATTACAGGTTGCACATGTGCGCATATTTGGTTTTCATCAGTGTTGGCAATTGCAGTGGATTGAGTTTCTCGCAAATATTAACGTCAGACGATTGAGATTTCTCGAGCCCTTTATCACTGCTCTCCTAATTACCCATGGTGCAACACTGAGATGTAAACCTTCAACGGAAATTTTGACCTCTGCTAGCAGCGCTATAACAGCTGTAGTATCCAATCAATAGTTCCATTGCCCTGCCGTAGTATAGGCTGTGCTTCTCCTTTATAATGCTACATGTTTGAAGTAGTCAAGAGGTGCCCCTTTGTTTAGGTGTCTAATATTTGATTCAGTTCCATAAGGCTCAGGATAGGTTGAGCTGCCCAATTTTAAAACTGTTTTCTGTTGTGATGGTACATATACCGTAATTACTCGAATCTAACGCGCACCTTTTTTCCGGTTAAGCGAGTTCATAAGTCGCATGCGCATTAGAATCGAGTACGAACAAAAAAATTACGGTCAATCTATTGCCATCGGCAAATCCAAAATGGCCGCCCCCTACCTGCGTCGGCATGGCGCGTCGGCCATTTCTGCCTATGTGTTTCCCATGTGCGGCACTTCGTACGTGTGCTGAGGAGTTCGTCATCTAGTAGTGCATTAGCATCGACGGCGTGGAAGGGCCGACTCCAAAAACTCGAGTGCACCACGATGCTTTTAAAAGAAAAGTCATCGCGTGTGCAGAAACGGACGGAAATCGGGCCGCATCGCAGTCGTTCGGAGTTCCCGAAACGTGCGTGCGGGACCTGCGGAAACAAAAGCAGAAGATTGCCGACAGCAAAGCTTCACGCAAAGGCTTCAGTGGACTACAGCAGGGTCGGTTTCCGCAAATTAAAGAGCTGCTCGGCGAGTATGTGCTTGAGCAGCGAGCGGCACAGCGGCCCGTGAAGACAGAACTGCTCCAAGTGCGGGCTATGCAATTAGTCTTAGAAAAATGTCTAATGCGGAGCCAGTTTAAAGCGAGCAGGTGCTGGCTAACTAACTTTATGAAGAGGAAAGGCTTTTCCCTCCGAAGGGGAACATGCATATGCGAAAAGTTTTGCAGTGGAGTACGATAAAAAGCTTCACAGTTTTCAGAGGTTCGTCCTAAACTTGCGGCGCAACAACAGCTACCTGCTTGGGCAAATCGGGAATGCTGGTCAGACGCCTTTTTACTTCGACATGCCTGGCACCACAACCGTCGAGAAGAACGGGGTGAAGCAAGTTCGCGTGCTGACATCGGTCCACGGTAAAACTACAGTGACGGCAATGCTCTGTTACACGTCAGATGGGCACAAGCTTCGCCCGTACCTCATATTTAAATGGAAGACGCTCCCGAAAGGAGTCGTTTTTCCGAGTGGTGTGATCGTGCGGGCCAGCGAGAAAAATGGGTGCGCGTTGCAATCGATGTCTTACGTTTTGGTTTTTTTTTTTTTTTCGCGGTAAAAATCCGGTGCGCGTTACAATCGAGGGCGCGGTAGAATCGAGTAAATACGGTACTACAGCCTTCGAAATGGCCCTCTGTGATCTAGGTATAAAACTGTTGACTAGGCTAGTTGCATTAGCTTAAATTTGCTACAGTAGGTTTACAATCTTGATTGGGATTGTTTTTCACTGAGACATTAACATGTTTCAAGGAAGAACGGAATGAGCATGGTGTTTTGCAAGTGCCTTATGTAATTGTGTCAACCATGGCTGTGTGTGTTTACTTCTGGTGGCATTTGTCATTCTTGGAGCACAATTTTGGTCACAACATCTGTGCAGCTGCCGTGCGCTTTCATAAACCTAAATATTGTCGTCGTCAATATTGTGTTTTTTTTTTAATGCGTGTTTGGTTGTGCATGTGTGTCTGCACAAAGTAAGCATGTGCAAAATGAGTGTTGGCAGGCTGTGCTCTTACAATAGAAATTTTCTAACGAAGATGCAGCTTTTGCTAATGTATTTGCGGCTAGAAAGCACTGTGTGCATATTTTTCAAGTCGTGTCTATAACTTGAAACGGTGACAATTCTTGTCGGTAGTACAACTGCGGGGGGGAAAAAATAAAAGGTTGGATAATTGTACTCTTTAAAATCTCTTGAGGGATTCAGATGATCGCACGTTTACGATGCAAAGACTGCTTAAGTACAAATGCTTAGCCATTGTTCCAAAATTTAACAGGGTCTAAGATAAGAAATCTGCGTTTATTTACAGCTATATCAAAAATAGTTTTAAGGTATCATATGTAAATGACTTAAAGCAACATACCATAACATATTCACATACTCGGCATATGTTTGTACTAACTTCAAACTGTAGAAACAATGCAAAGCTAGGAATAATCTAGCACACCATTTTATCGAATAAATGAAAATCAACAGTGGAGACAGGCTTCAAGAGAGTAAGTCTAAATGTCAGAAGACGTTTTCAGTATAAAACATGTTGCATTATAAAATTATAAAATTACATTAACTGCGGTACTAATGCAGATTGCTCCTTCAATGTAGACGTTGGCTTATCCGCACTCAAATTCCCATGTGCCAATTATATTCTAATAGCAGCCGAATCGTTTTCAAGCTAGAAAGTGTACTGTGGTGGTCAACGCCTCACAATTTTCACTTCCTCGATTTCTGCTCTTGCAAAAAACAAAGGGGGATGATTGGAAATAGGCTTCGTTCCTAACCGTTGTATAGTTATAATGTAATATGCAAAAATATTTAACTAAAAAACAGATGAAACTGAATCGAATCCCACAACATCTCGTTGCCTCAGTGTAGAAACAGTGAATCAATAAATACAATGGTTCTCTACTCGCATGCAGAAGGCAGGAAATTATTGACTTTGGTGTCTGCAGAAGAAAGTCGTTGAATGTAACAGATGCTATAATGCGAGAAATTCAAGATTTTTCAAGTTGTTGGGTCTAAGCCAGTTACAGGAGCCCTCATTTGCCGCTTTTATTACGTGGTGTTTCTCACTACTCGGTGTACGTTGTGGTGGGTTTCTTGTACGCATCTGTGCTGCTTGCTTTATTGTGGGTGAAGAGATGTCAACTTGTGTACGGCCTTTCTATTTCCTATCTTAGGTTCCTGCCATTTCGCTGGCTTATGAGAAATCCGAATCTGACATAATGAAACGAAGACCGCGTGATCCTGCCCACGATAAACTAGTGAACGAGAGGTAACATTCCCACATCCCAGCGAAGAAGGCCCGACTGGCACTTTTGAGAGTTCTTTTTCCTGCACTGCTGTTCATTTCGAAACCCTTTCTCGGTTCTCTTGCTTTTCTTTTACCGGGACTTGCTGTTGGATTAAGTTATTTTGTAGTTACCTTGTTTGGTTTCTGGGAGAGAACCATGGGCAAAGTCCTTTTTCTTTTTTCTCGTTGTAGATGGAATGTTTTGCACAGGTTATTGCAGCCTGATTTCTTAAGACTTCTAAATGTGAGCAGTCCTCACTTAAAGGAGTATTCTTGTAGTGCATGTGCACCAATCGGACACCAAAAGCATTCAGTGTCAAGTAAAACTTGTCCTATTATGAAATACTAACTCTTCGCTATATCACAGTATTGAAGCATTAAGTGGAAGTAATGTGTTTACAGAGTAATGTACCTTTGCGTAGTGCCAACTTGTCAAGTCTTGTAAACAGACCTGCATTTTGCTTATCATCAAGGCAGTTGCACTTCTTGCTAGTCTTCTTTGCCCTGGTTCTCTCCCCAATTCCTTTGATGTTTTGGTCAAGACGTTCCACAAGGCCTCCGTCCACATCCATCGAACAGCAAGCAAAGATGGGTACCTGAAGGTAAAAGCATGACTATTGTGGTCTTTGGATTTTTTTTGTTGTTGCTACTCGCAATCAAATTTTTTCGGTTATGTTCCTTGCCCGCTGTTCCACATAGCTCCCTTTAATTTTTTTTCTTCGCATCATGAGCTTATCTTATTGTGTGCGTAGTTGTTAGTTTGGTTTTGTTTCAAGCTTTGTTTGTTTCTTTGGTTTACGTTGTATTGGGCGGATTCGTCATTGGTTGTTTCTTGGGTTGCAACATATTCTATCACCTTGTTTCGTTTCCTTGCCTTATCCTTGGTTCTGGCCTCCGAAACAATGGCCATGGATTTCTCCATGCCTTGTATGTATGGCCTTGCTATTTTGTTCATACCTCTTTAGCACACTTGATGTCTGGTAGACTATAATTAAAGGACGCTTGTTTGGTTGTTCAGCATGTAGTATGTGGGACAAAGAAAGTTTTGTAACGGTTTCACAGGCACCCTCTCTTGAAATGAATGCTAGCAGTGCTTCGAATCTAGAAAATTATCTGGTTTATTCTGTTCTGATCAACACTGGTTGTATAAGACACAATGCTGGGTCACTCTTGCACAAGCAAACTTGTTTTTAGTTCATGAAAGTGTTGGCTCCAGCAAAATCTCTTGTTTAACGAGTGCTGATCACTTCAATTCTCCATCTCCTCGCAAGCCTTTTTTTCCTGGTGTGGGGGTGGGGAGGGAGGAGGGGTACTTCTGTTATGACTTTTCATTTTGGCCGGTAGTACTTTTGCTCAGTTCATTCTTTCATTTCTACCCATTGCCATCATCACCAGCCGATAAGAATTCAACAACAGGATGGGCGCTGCTTCCTGCTGATATCATCGCCAGTGTTGGGGGGCTTAGTATGGCATTTAGAATGACATTATTGTTGCTGAACTCGGAGCCCCATCTCACTTTGACTGGATTGCAAAGTGTTTTGGATGCACCGAGCTTGGCCAGCTGGAGTGGTTCCACATAGTATTCTTTACTTATGGGCGAATTCGCAAAGCTTCTGCGATTAATAATTGGCTTGACAAATTATAGGCTACCTGCTGATTGACTAATTCTGATTACTAGCTAAGACACCTAGAAACATCATTCAAGGAGCTTGATATTCTGCTATCTAAATGTCATTGATTCAATGACACCAAGGGTGAGTACTTCGTTAGCTAATTGCTTAAAATAATTTGATGGCTGTCAACGTGCTAAATTGTGAGTGGATTTGAGGCATCTTTATGTGTTTTATTGATAACATACTGGTTTCAGTAAAAATGCCCTTATGTTGACCCCGGGCAGCTGTTGTAATAACATTGTTACAGATGCCCAAATTTCAAAATTGTACTGGCCTGTGTAAGGCCTGAATCATAGTTCATGTTTAATGATGACAGTGTTTGCAAGTTGCCATACAAACAAGATTCTTCAAGCAAGGTGCAGCTCTAAGACAAGAGTGTCTAAGGATGCTCTAACTCTGCATGTTTTCGTTGATTTTCTTGCCTATTGGAGTGCTGCTCCTTAATTTTGTTTGTGACCCTACGCACACTTGCACTGGTGGCGTCTAAAGTTGTTTGTTGTTGCACGGCTTTGTGCTACACAACTGCATGGCAGCTAGTTCCAGAAGTAGCACACTTTTCTTGATTCTTTTGGTTTGTTACTCCCACTTTATGTTCTTGTTTTTCATTGCGGTACAGTGTGTTTCGTGTTTGGACCAATGATTAATGGGCACATTATCTTGGGTTAACTACATCATCTGACATCCCTTAAAGGAAGGTCACAGATGCAGTCTTCACAATGGGGCATTTGATGCATTGTGTCCTTTTAGTGCAGTCAGTAAACCAGTGCGTCTAGAAACATTACTCTCATAAAAAGCAATGTTCAGCTAGTCTAGTATATAGACTGGCATTCCAAAATCGATAACTGAGCCAGTTGTCTGAGCTTGCTGATGAGTCTTTTAAAAGCAATGTTTGTGTACTAGCAGCTTCAGGAGCCAGATAAGATAATGCACACCATATTGTGCAAAACAGGCCGCTACTCTCTTTTGAAGATTACAGCAATGGTAGGCATTATCATTTACGAAAATGGGGTGTTATCGGCCCAAACATGTAAGCCACTGTATTTCTCGTCACGCAATATGGCCCCCCTACCATTATTTTTATTTTCCTCCTTCCCAACACATTTTCTTTAGGTTCCTGCTATTTCCCTTGCATATGAGATGGCAGAAAGTGACATTATGAAGCGTCAGCCCCGTGACCCAGTCAAGGACAAACTTGTGAATGAAAGGTGGGGTTTTATGTGATCATTGCTCATCTGTTTAGTCATTTGGCTTTGTTGAAACCTGCTTATTATTTCCTAAAAAATGAAACCTCGCACAAAGATGCACGTGCTCGTAAGGAGCCATGTGAGTACTGAATCCTTTCATTGCATGGGCACCAATAATTTTTTTATCTGCTGTTGTAGCACAACTGGAAATTTTCTTGCACTATAGATACATGTAATCTTTCAGCTGTGTGACTTTCATAGTGGTTGTAAAACTCTGCTGCTCCAAGTATGTGAATAGCATTTGGCCAGTAACACTGTTTCAAAAACTAAATGTTTATTAATTGTGATTTCAAGTGAAAGATTAATCTTTATTTTTCAGTTAGCATGAGAGTGAAGAGTTGTGCAGAAAGTAATCTTTTTCTAAAGAATAATGTTTACAATTACTAGTTCTCACTTTTTTTCAATTGTAGTTAAAAATAGGTATGGTTATATAAATGTTCAGTTCCTGTTGTGGCAGTATATTTTGTATTAATTCTTCTAAATTCTTCTGTGTGGCATATCTAACAGAAAATTTAAATATTGCAAATCTTTTGTGCATGTACTACTAATGCGAATATAGCAGACATGCTAATTATTATTAGCTGATGTGATGCACAAACCCCATTAAGCTTTTTATGAGTGGCATTTGCAAGTGTTCATTTCAGCTTAGTAAGTTTCATAGTGATTAAAAAACTCTGCTGCTGAAGTATGTGGTTGTTGAGAAACTTTTTGTCAGTAATCACACTGTTTTTAAGAGCAAGCATTGCAGGAATCTTGTCATCGATACCATAAAAATGTGTGTCATATTTTCTTGTCAAGCTGGAATTCTGTGAAGCTGACCTGTGAACAATTCTTTTTCTCCTTAGGCTGATCTCTATCTCGTACGGTCAGATTGGAATGATGCAAGCTGCGGCTGGATTTTTCGTCTACTTTGTGATCATGGGCGAAAACGGCTTCTGGCCAAGCAAACTGCTTGGACTACGTAAGCACTGGGACTCGAAGGCGGTCAACGACCTCATGGACTCATACGGCCAAGAGTGGGTCAGTAACTGCCACCTTTTTAGTTCGATACTGTCCTTCAAGGCCCACAAAGCAAAGTAGTTTGGCTACAAAGGAAGACATATTAGCGCACACACAAAAAGAAAATTTCTGTACCTGTTATGGTACCATAGTTAATTAATTGTGCTACAAAAGGCAAAGGCATGAGTTCTATTCCTGGTATTATGCCCACCACGGTGGTCTAGTGGCTAAGGTACTCGGCTGCTGACCCGCAGGTCGCGGGATCAAATCTCGGCTGTGGCGGCTGCGTTTCCGATGGAGGCGGAAATTTTGTATGCCCGTGGGCTCAGATTTGGGTGCACGTTAAAGAACCCCAGGTGGTCAAAATTTCCGGAGCCCTCCACTACGGCGTCTCTCATAATCATATGGTGGTTTTGGGACGTTAAACCCCACAAATCAATCAAATCAATCTATTCCTGGTCTTAGTGAGTGAATTATAATTAGGGTGGAAACGCCATAAAAAGTGCACATTAAAGAGCCCCGGGCAGCGAAAATTAACTGGGAATCCCTCATTACAACCTGCTTGGTAACTGTACTATGGTTTTGACTATAGTTATTTTAACCATAGTTTTAACCATAGTTGGTTATTGCCCTCTAACTGTGCTGTTTTTCACATGAAACAGATTTGTGTGCAACATGAGCACGAACTAGGTCTTTTACTTTGAGCAAGTTGTTTTCACATTTACATGCGGTAGTTCTTCCTGGTGCCTTCACTTCAAGCTCTCATGCATACTTTCAGCTGCATTTTTTGTGCCAGACGTTAGGTCTCTTAGGGCAGGTAGAAGACAGTGCTGCAATAAGACCACGCTTAGGCCTGGTTGCAGCTCTGCTGTAAAAATGGTTCTTGTGAGAGACCAGTGTGTTACATGTGGAAAAGAAAAGTGTTTAGTGGTTGTACCACACAGATTTTGAAGGCAGCATCGCAGTGTTCATACAGGTCCCTTGAGTTCTTTGTCCTAAAAGTTGGTTTCTTTGCTTCAGCACGGAAATGATGCAACATTTTTGAGGTTGACACAAAACATTACTATATTACGAAGGCATTCAGAATGCCAGCAGTTTGAACAAGTCTGTTGTGTTGATAGGCTTGATCAAATTTGTGCTGTTTTTGTAAGTACTGGAGACAAGAATATGTGTATCAAAACTTAAAGCGTGAAAGAATCCTTTCGTAATGTTCGCAAACAATGCACATGTATCCTAGCTTTGACGTGCGTTAAATTATACGCGTGATTGCACATGGATATGGCTGTTGCAGATGTATAAAAAATGGTTTTCTCAGTACTTCCAGTTTCTTTGTCAACAGCGTAATTTATGAGCATTATTTCTGTCCTTGAAATGCAGACATACAAGAACCGCAAGACCCTGGAATATACCTGCCACACAGCATTCTTCGTTTCCATCGTTATTGTGCAATGGGCCGACTTGATCATCTGTAAAACGAGGAGAAACTCCATTGTCCACCAAGGAATGAAGTAAGCGTTCTTGTCCAGTTGCATTAAATTTCACTTGAGTTTAATTTGGCACCAATTGCTAAATGGTAGGCTTGTGCAAATACTGAATTTCAGGTTTGAAGGGAAAAGAGATTTTAGTTGAACATGCTTGAATCGAAATCAAATTGTGTTATACAGACATACAGCGATATTTGGCATGACCTAACTAACCTGCGCACTATTTTATTTAATTGAATGAAGGCCTGTGCAAATGTTTTTTTTTTTTTAATCGGAGGATCTGGAAACAACTTTGAATAGTAGCAGGATTTTACATACAGTAGAATGCTAGTGATAGCCTGTAAAATATGTTATGCTTTAAAATTTGCTATACTCTGAGCATGTAGGACTGTATTACAAGCTTTTAAATATTCAAAATAAGATAAATCGATGCGAGATTAATATGTTAATTTAGCAGAACTTATTGTTGGGCTAGTTGGTACAAGATTTCTGTAACAACTGTACATATTGATAATATATGCTGTTGGCCTTCGATGGTATTAGTGCGCTCATGTGCCCTGTAAATATTCAAGCCTTCGAGCTATGAATAAATCAGTTGGAAGTGAGTGCTGTGTGTTTGATGCCTGGGTGTGTGCATGTGTGATTGATCGTGTCGTGTGTTTGTGCTCGAATTATACTTTAGAAATGTTAATTTAACCTTGAAGTGGAGCTTAGTGAAAGTGCGGAGTTGCCCTGGATAGACATTTTTGCAGTTTGCATTCTTTTACTGCAGTGAAATCACCTTTACATGGGATTACATGCGCACTAATACGCATCTATTTGGTCATTTTAAATACTCCAAAATTTTCGATAATTTAAATTCAAATATGTAGTATAGTACGTTCAAATATTCGAAGCATTCAAATATTTGCACAAGTCTACTAAATAGAAATAAGGCACTGTTTTGGATACGGTTTTATCCACCTTGATAGAGTTGCTTTTCGTTAAACCATGGGGCTGGCAACTTCACTGGTGCAGCAGGTTTCAGGAATATCAGTCTTTCAAGCCAGGCAGACAGAAATTGAGAAGCAGAGCTGCTTGTAGCTATCCTTGTTTATTCCTGTTATAGTCTAGCCAAGTCAGTAGACATGTTAAGAATGCAACCAAATCATACACAACTTCACTACGCATCTAATGCTCATTTAGCACACAGCTTGTTCGTACCATCAAGTTTTAGTAGTCGCAGCATTGCGCCTCCTGTTCAGAGTGACTGAGGTGCACCACGCATATTGTGGGGCTGTAATTTGTTCCGGAACTAATATGCAGTTATCTAGTTATATCGGGAAATTGTGGAACAAGCACCAGGAATATTGGGCGGCTGTGTTCTAAGTTCATAAAGGCCATCCGAAATCCTACATCGACTTACACTGATACAAAGTAGTCTTCATAAGAATCACTCAAGCTTTTTGTGCTGTTAAAAGGTTTTTCTTGGGGAAATAATTGTGGTAATTAGAGCAATATACAGTCGAACCCCGCTACAGCGAAACTGAAAAGGCATGGAAAAAATTTCGTTGTAGTGAAATCGAAAAAATATAGCCGATCCGAACTAGCCAAACAAAAGAATGTTTATTCTCGAAATTCAAAAAGTGTCCGCTGCTTTTTATTCGATCCCAGCAGTGTCGCGGCAAGATTCTCACCCATGCTAAGCGAGGCCATGGTGAAAAGCATGCTGAAACAATGACTACAACCACATTCGTGAACGAACCGAACAGTTGCATTAACACGTTAACACCAGCAGCTGTCCGCCGTCAAATTGCCGAGATGGCAGCAGGGTATCATGGAGCGGTGACTTTTGCCTTATTTTATGTCATTCTTATCATTCATCACTCGCGGCTAGCTGATTTTGTTGATAATGCGGACGAACAGCCGTTCTGATTAGTTACCACACTGGCTAAGCGCGAACAAAATAAGCATTGGAATCGGAAAAGGCATCGTTCCGCAAATGCACCCAGCAGCTGCGCGAAAGAAACCATGAACTAAGCAAGTGAGCTTCAGCTTCAAATCGTCTGCGGCTATACAGTAAACCCAATCTTTAACATTTCGATGCATTTTCAAAACCTGAAAATACGTCGACGAAGTCTAGAACACGCGTTGGCACCACCAGGAATCACCGCTGTTCAGCAAGCATAGGCGTCACCATTGCCATTGCTATCGAGCAATGGTGGTGCCCATGCTTGCTAGCAGCGGTGGTTCCTGGTGGTGCCAACGCGTGTACTAGACTCCGTCGACGTATTTTCACGTTTTGAAAATGCATCGAAATGTTAAACATTGGGTTTACTGTATGTATAGCAATAAATATTTGAGTCTGAAATTGCATTGTGAAATTTCGTTGAAGTGGGACGGCAGAAGAAAAAGTGCTCGTTGTGGTCACAATATTTGTGCCTTGACTCCTATGGACTGCTGACGGGGAACCGGTAATTTTTCGTTGTAGGGGGAATTTCGTTGAAGCGGCATTCGTTGTAGCGGGGTTCGACTGTATTGGGTTATTGCATATTGTTCCTCTATGCAAATTGAAATTATAAATGTGTGTCCTGCCGAGTGCATTGGTTTCATAAGCATGGGGGTTCAGTAGGCGTATTGGTTCGTTACAATCAAATTCGTTCTTATGTGTAATGTTATACTTTAGCTGGGAACTAACTATCAGAAACACAGAGTGAAGAAACACAAAAGGGCTTACTTCACTCTGTGCTTGTGACATTTTGTGGCTAAAGTATGTCAATAAACAAGTACCAACTAGGCCAACAATCGGTCTTGATACAATATACAGTTCACTACCGCGGGGTTCATCATATAGTGAAACATCATGTATGTCATAGGCTACGTTGTCATTTTCAAGCCTTGGTTATAGCTTGTGTATTTTTTACTTTTTGTCCTTGAGCAACTCCTGTAGGCAGATTGTAGATATCGTATTTACTCTCATAATAGGCGCACTTTTTTTTCAGAAAATCCGGCTCGAAGTTAGGGGTGCGCCAATTACGCGGGGTAAAATTTTCGAAAACTTTTTCAACTCGGTTCTCGTGCTTTAAATCTGCACACTTGTCAAGTAAAAGGCGACTTTATCGTTTACCAATTAATTCAGCATAAAACAAACATACCTACGTACCTTTTAATGAACAAGCGAGAGCCGTCAACTGCACACACACATGTAAAATTTATTCACACAAAAGTCGTAGCTGTTCCTCTTTTTCCCTATTCAGAGTGTCTTCTTCGTTGCCTTAAGTTTTTCTTCTTGGTCCCTCCAGTACCGAATACTGGTTTTTCCAACGCCGAAATGCCTGCTTGCAGCCCGGTTGCCGTGCTCCAGCGCGTACTGCACTGCCTTCAGTTTAAACCCAGCCGTGTAGCTCGCGTACTTCCCCATGGTGGAACCAAAGTTCAATACACGACCACAACATACGCACACCGCTTGCAATATGGCGTTTCTTTTTTTTTCTATGATGGTGGTGATGGCGATCGAGCCCCCGGCGTTGTACACGTGACCTCCAAAACGCGCGGCGATTTCGGGGGTATCAGTAATTGATGGAGCAGCCGTTTTTTTTTTTTTTTTTCCGCTCATGGACGTTTTTTTTTTTTTTTTTTCAAGTTTTATTTCGACAAACACGTTGGTTAGGTCGTTGCACTTCGAATTTTTTTTATTTGCTCATCGATTTGCCTTCTTTTTTTCTTCAGGGTACGGGGACCGCCTTCCAACTGTACCGCTGGGGGGTAGAATCGTTTCTGATCATGGCCAAGTTCGGGGTGCACCTATTATGTGCGGAATTTAAAAAAAAATCGAATTTTCCGCGACCAAACTAGGGGGTGCACCTATTATGCGAGTGCGCCGATTATGCGAGTAAATACGGTATATTGGTTTAGTAGGCATGCTGATTTAATTTGATCAGTTTCATTGATTCATCTGCTGGCTCGGTTTGATCAAAGAGCCTGCTTCACAGATAGTGGCTCTATGGGGACGCCCCCACGCTGCGTATTCTAGCACGGTAGAAAAGTTTGCTAGAGATTGGAGACTCTTATTGTGCTTCGTTCATGCAATGATGAATGGGAGCATTCCTTTCAAGCTTGAGGTGCAGTAGATAAGGACCTCTTAGTTCCAACGTGTGGCAGGTGGATGGGTTCTTTTACTAGTTTCGTTGGTGTGCTCAGATTGCATTGACCTGATGTCAGTCGTGCAGTACTTGTGACCTTTAGCAATGGCTGGCAGCAGATAATTGCCAGTGCCATAATACCAATACAAGTTTTGTCCTATTGGGAACCAGTTGATGTGACCTATAAGACCTAATTATAAAACATTGAATTTGAAAGAAATGTATAGTTCTGATGAAATGGCTACATAATCCTTAGGACTGTCGTAATGAACCACATGAATGCTCTGTTGACGTATTTGAATGATTGTTCTTGTTCTTAGTGCGACTTCTTTTCTTTCAGGAACCATGTCCTGAACTTTGGATTAGTTTTTGAGACTGCCTTAGCTGCGTTCCTCTCATACTGCCCAGGCATGGACAAAGGTCTCAGGATGTACCCACTGAAGTAAGAAATTTAGTCTTGTCAAAACTTTCGCTGCCTATCCAATCCAATATTAAACAGTAATAGTGTGTTAGCATCGGTTGTTGTTGATTTTATTTCAAATAGCTGAGTTGCCTGCAAGGACTTAAAACGATCGTTTCAGGTTTTCTAAATGTTTTCTGTACTCCTTGCAATCTGCAGATTACAGATGTTGCCTTGAACGTGCATCCTTGCGTTTTTTACTCTTTTAGTCTGTTATTGACCTCGCCTCTGGTGGATATTGTGTAGTGTAGCATGACTTCAAGCCCAGGAAAGCACACAATAATTTTGTACATGTACAACGCAAACTTTTATTTAGTATTAACATAACTCTTGTTAATGAACCCTATGAATTGGTCCACACTTATGGACATGTCTCCGCAACAAGTATGTATTGTAAGCTGTGCAAAGAGGAAATTCTAGGTATCCGAATCTACAGAATCCACTGTGTGGAGGTTCACAACTTGGCATCACATGACCAGCTGCTAAAATTCAACACACAGTGGGCTCTAAAGAAACTGCCATGCAATCATTTACATAGCGTAATCGTATGCGATCCCTCAAACTCGCAATCGCTCACAATCCAATCACAAGGTGATAGTGACGATCTTAAATGTGTTTGCTTTTCTGGCTGTAGCAGACAGTTGTGGAGGCAGCCACACCGTCTTCAGGTTGTCAAAGCTTGTTGAATTGGCATCTTGGTAATTTCTAATGTGTTGGTTTGTGGTAATATCTGTTGTGAGTTTTAGGGCCAGGACAATACAAGGCGAATAGCGATTGGTCAAATCATTTCTAATTAAGTTTGAGCAGTATATATTGCATAATAGATTAAAATGAGCATATTTGTCATGGCCCAGATAATCTGCATATTATTTTTTCATTGAAACAAGGCCTGTGTAAATGTCATTCTTTTTAAATGAAAGGGAAGGGTAGGTAACTTTGAATGGTAGCAGGATTTTACTTTCGGTAGCTTGCGAGCGGTAACCTGTGAAGTACTCTGTTTTGAAATTCACCATACTTGGAGCACACAAGCTGGTATAACAAGCTTTTGAATTAAAGAAAGATTAATTGATGTTAATGTCCAGCTTTGAAGTGAGACTTCGTGACAGTGCAGATTTCCCCCGGATAGATGCTGTAGATCTTTCTGCTCATATTTGGGTACACGTTAAAGAACCCCAGTTGTTCGAAATTTCTGGAGCCCTCCACTACGGCGTCTCTCATGATCATATGGTGGTTTTGGAACGTTAAACCCCACAATTCAATCAAATAAATCAATCCCCTGGATAGATGTAATCACGGCATAATGGCGCTTCACTGCAGTGAAGCCACCAAGGCGGTTACCTGCAATTTATGTATTTGTTCCTTTCCAATGCTTCGATGTTTAGAATAATTGTCTCGAAGTGAATTTTAATACTGTAATATTTGTTCAAATATTAAAATTTTAAAATATCCATACATGCCTGCTAATGCGACATCATTGCTCTTGCTTTGCCAGGATCAACTGGTGGTTACCCGCACTGCCATTTTCCCTCCTGATCTTCGTGTACGACGAGATTCGTCGCTACATATTGCGCCGCAACCCAGGAGGATGGATCGAGATGGAGACCTACTACTGAACATTGCCCACGCGTAGTCTTCTTATCTCTCTCTCTTCAACAGACCTTCTTCGTTTTACTTCTTTATATTTTTTTCAACGAACCTTCGTTTTACCATCGCATTTTTTCTTTTATGAAAAAAAAAAGAGGGGCAGGGGGGCTGCCCTGCCTCCCACCCTTCCCGGTATGAACGGGAAAAAAAGAAGAAACTATGTACCAAGCCAACCAACAAAAGCTGGCACAAGCGCGGCACACTTTTCGCGTTAGTAGCCTTAGTGTTGTTGTTGCTAGGAGGCGAGGAGAGAGAGAGGGGAGGAGGGAAAGTATTTGCTGCACCTTCGTAGTTTGAGATGCTTGGAGGAAGCTGCTGCAGAAGGAGGGATGGAGAGAGGACAGAATTGAGAAAGGGAGGGAAGGAAAGAGGAAAAGGGAGCTGCGCCGAGGCACAAGTGCTGTGTTTGGGAGCTGCGGACAATGTTCGAGGAGGACCGCAAACTGGGCCGCCGTTTGCGGCCACACCAACCACCGCATGCGGAAAAAGAGGAAGAGGGCATGGCACAGCTACTCTGCCTCACACGCCATCGTTGATTGTGCTTTTCGGAGATCGGCACACGAGGAGGTGCCCCCCCTTCCTTGTCGGTTGTCTCGTTGAGGCCACCACCACCACCGCTGCTGCAGCGACTGCCACATCCAATTGCCGAACGACCGACCGACCAACTTCCACCGCGCCCCAGTCATCGACCGCCAAGGGAGGTCTGGAGAAAAGGTGGAGAGGAGAGAAAAATACCACACCGAGCGCGTCCGACCTTTTCCATTCTTCCCGTTTCCTCCCTTTTTGACCGCTTCCAGTCCCTTTCTTCACGGCAACTGTTCCCCGCCAGCCTTTTTTTTTTTTCTTTTATTACTGTTTGTCTCTCGCATCTCTGTCGGAAAACTCGGGTGTCTCACTCGGAGAGTGCTTTTGTCTTTTATTTTTTGTGATGTAGATACGGTTCTTTTTCTTTTTCATATCACTATTATAATTTCAGTCGTTTTCTTTCTCTCTCTCGATTTTTTCTGTTGCTGACGGGTGTGTACCGTACCAGTGCTCTTATTACTGCTACTACTACTACAACAGCATCATCCCATTATCAGAATTTTGTTTCGTCTTCCTTTTCCTCTTTGTGTGTCGTGTACCATACAAATTTTACCCTGCTCTCGCGTTGTTTCTTTTCTTGTGGGTTATTTGCATGAAGTGGTCGGTACACTTGGAAGAAAAAAGTTCAATAAAAAAAGGTTATATGTGGCGAACGAAAAAAACTTTATAAAAATAATGGCTTTGCATTCGCTCGAGCCAAGCTGTTCAGGAGTAGAAAAATTGAGGCGACGTGATGAGAGTTGCGGGCTTGTTTCGTTTTAGATGGCTCCTGAGCGCGGTGTTCTTAGTTGCAAAGTTGTAGCAGCAATTACTGCAGCGAGAACCCTAAACATAAAAACACTTAGTAAGTTCACATGCAAGTGGGAGTGAACATTCCACAATTTCCTTTCCCAGTTTGTTTGTTCTTTCTCTTTTTGCTGCTGCCCTTTGCCATCGCGCCTCTTTCCTTTTCACCCACTGCCGTTCTTTCGTCCCTTGTCATCACTCTCATCACAGTCGGATGCTTACCGAGGAGAACTTCTTGCACACAGATACACATACACACACAAACCAACCACTGTGTGCTAGTTCTCAAGTGTGCTTCAGTTTTCTTTTGTTACTACTTCTAGATTTGCTGGAATCTTGCTAGCTTTTTTTTTTTTTTTGCAGCAGTGTGTCTAAGTTTTTTTAGATATGTAAGAATGGATCTTTATTTACACCTTTTATTTTTTTTCCTGCAAAGTGAAGTAGTTTTTCGGCCGTGGAAGGGATCGGATCGGCGAAGGCTAATTCCTCTTCCTGGAGAGAGTCACATGAGATCGGAGACAACGATGACGTTGTTCATGACCGCACCCGGTGCAGCTAGGTAAAGAAAAAAAAATACCCTTCAACATTTTGGTAGCATGTATTGTAGAGAATTCATACAACTCTAGGTATAAATGGTGAGAGACATAGAAACACATGCCGCTGTTGAGGTTATTGTTACTATTGCTAACAGTTAAGCCTGTTTCCTGTTTTTTTTTTTTCTTGCTGCTTGTTTGTACTTGCCCTGCGTTGATGCGGCAGGTTGTGTAACAGGTATAGATTGTACCGTGCCGAGCGGAACTTTCTTTGTCTGGGAAAGATGGTTTACGATCGTCGTAGCTGGCCCCCTGTCGGTTTCCGCTTGCGTACATTTACCATTGCATTTCACCGGTGTAATTCCTTTCTTTTAAATTTGTTTGTGCTTTGTCATAGTTTCCATTTGAATGACAAGAAAGCATAACATGTAGTTCTTTTTAAACACGCTGACGGGGGGGGGGGGGGGAATTGGGAAGCCTTGTTGTGCGGAGGCTTTGGAACGAGTTTCTCAGCCAGTTTGAGTGATGTACTTTGTGTTTTGTTTCTATGGGTCGATCGGGCTGGGAAGGGGGCTGTTGTCATCCCAGAAGCCTCCTCTATTTTGTACGTGTTCTCCTTTTGTTTCTCATGGAAACTGGCTTGGTGCTGGCATTAGGTAAAGTGGTTAAAAAGGAGGGGTGCAATATTCAAAAGAGACTTTGGCGTGCGTGATGAAGAGTTTAGGTCACTGCAAGTTGCATGTAGTGTCATTCATATTCTTGTTCATTATGCAGAGCATAATTTATATGCCTCGCTATTTTTTCTTTTCTTTTGCTTTCTTTTAGTGTCGTGCTATATCTTAGGCGCATCACGTCCTTGTGAAAGTTTTAAAAGTAGTTTCGTTCAGTCCAAAGCATGCACTGCCGCTTGTTCTACCTCGCGCTTGAGGAGCGGGGTAAAGAACAAAGGTTTCTCGGAAAAAATCAAAATGCACCAGAGGAGTAGTTCTTTTTTCCCGATTTGGCCGGTGTTTTACACTAACACGCGTTGTGTGGAGAGATGAATTGATCGGCAGCCGTTGGCTGTAGATTCGGTTCTTTTGTTGGCTCGGTGTCACTGACGCGCTTGTTTCTGTTGCCCCTTTTGTCTTTGCGTGATGCATTTCTTTCAGTGGGACTTTTTTTTTTGTTTTTTTTTCTTGTGCTGCGCATACCACCATTTCATGATGAAGTTGTATAGATTTCAGAAAGATTGCTCTATAGAAAAGTGTAAAGAAAAGACACATGCTATATATTATACATAACATATAAATACGTACAATTACATTTTTGTGACTGTCATATAACTTGCCACAGGCCTTTGTTATTTCTTCCTCTTTTTCCCTTGCTTTCTCGTTTTTGCATTTGATGGGGACGAAGGAAAACATAGCCGGTGCAGATAAGGGATTTTCCTTTCTTTGCTTTGCGTGTGCAATGAAATGATGATGGTACAAAGAAAAAAAATTGTGCAAGGACGGAATATTTTTACGGACACTTATATCTAGCACGCATTTTTATTGTATGGAAAAGTGGAGTAGCTGGTTCGAGGAATAAAATGAAATGAAATGTTTTTGTTCATTTCTCTTTCTGTTTACTCCTCTTTGTCTGTATACGGGGGAAAAGAAACTATACAAAACGTAAAAAAAAACTGCCACCACACAAACTTATCGGCGTCTGTGAATGATTGCGGCGCATTTGGGGGTCTTAACAGCGTGCTGTGCTACTACTTAAAGAAAAACTGGGCATAGACACCTTAGGGAAACTTGAAAATCATTCTCGATAACCCTTGAAAGAGCGCAGAAACGAGCGTGTGCGACGTACTTTTGCGCTCGAGTACTGTATGAGCTGGAGTCTTCTGTGAAAGCATTGTCAATGTCTTACGGTGCTTACGCCTCTCAAGTACTGCCGTTCACGGGAGGGACTTGAAATGGATGCCTCAACGAGGCAGCAACGGCCGCTGCTCGCGACTTAGCATCATTTCACCTTGAGATTGGAGCAACGTTTCCTTTCTTTCCACCCTTCCTTCTTGCTCATCGCGGTGCAGCTTGCTCCAGCGTGCGTCCATTTTCTAGCGCTAACTTGCTGGACCACTGTCGTTGCCGTCCAGCGCATGTCAATGGTGGGCAACACGAACGATTCGGCGCGTTACGGCAGGGGACACTCCCGTTTGCTTTCAAAAGGAAACGCTAGATATTCTCTGTGTTTGGAGTCACTTGGGGCACCGAAATAACTCGTATTTAAAGTGCTCCACAGCCATTATTTTGCGGGGGTAGTCCTCGGGAATGTGCCCTTTTGTCGCAACGACTCGAAACGTTTGTGTACAAGGTGCAACTGCCGCGAAGAGCAGTCCCTTTGGTGCCACTGTTACCTTCGAAAAGCAGGTTGCGTACCCGTTCAACATTGTCGCAGCGCCGAGTTGCACGAATGCCAAGCGTTTGGGATGTCTTGCGTCCGATGCCTTTCCGCCTTTTAGCTTGGCTCAAAGTTGGCTCGTAACGAGCCCGCTCGTTGCCTCGGAGATCTGTTCTGGTAGCGTGCTGCCGTAACTGATCGCTGAGGCCACGGCCCGATTTGTTTTCTGGTTCACGATGCAGTCTCAAGATGACACTCCGTATCAAGTCCCTCCCGTCGTGTGGCACCAAAGTACAGCGGAGTGCCGCAATGTGTTTATACCATAGTTGATGAAGGGGGTGAAAAAAAAACAAATATTTGTTTTGAGCGGCGTGATTTAGGTGTGGGCAATACGTTATATGCTGTCTACTGAAGGAATGATTTACACTCACAATTCAAAGCAAGTCCTCGGCTTAATTCTGGATGTGCTTGTGGAAGAATACTGTTTGCGTGCGCAAGTGTTTCCGAAACTTTGCGACCATAGGACAATAAAAAAAAAGGGCTCTTCAGGTGAACGAAGCTGTTTACTGTTGCACTTTAGCTACAATAAAACATTTTTGTTTAATGGAAAGAATGTGTTTATAGTTATGTTTACAGATATGTTTAATAAAAATTCCTTGACAAAAAAAATTAAGGCCATCCGCTTTTTAGTACGTCTCGTGGAGTGCTTACCCTCCTTGACGAACACTGAATAGACACTAAAAAAATGAATTTCAAATCGCTCTTACCCAAGAGACTGCTACAAATCCTAAAAAAAAAAAAAACACTGCTTCCATTCATGCACAACAATGGACTCTCAACACGCCCAAGCTTATATACACCCCGAGATGCCTAAAGCGTCTATGTAACAATAATGAATCCACGGCCAATCTACTTTGTAAAGATGGTCGCTCAGCGAAGCTGTTCATGCGCATTGAACCCGCTTGCGGCACTCGTTGCAGCTTAAGTCCCTAGAAAAAAAAATCTTGGGACTTTAGTTGCAGTGGCCCTTGCTGCCCGCAGTAGTGGCGGCTACCATTTGTTGCCGTGCTGCCTGGGCTTCTCGAGCTCGAAGTTTGGAGTCGCCGACTCTCCGCTGGCGCTTCACCTCTGATTCGCCAGCACGTAACGTCGCAGCTACGGCTCAGCGACGTCTATGCGATCGGCTGTCGAGATCACGTGACATGCGAGTCTGCCGCTAGATTGAAGCGCCATTGGCTGAGCAAGCGGGTCTCGCCCGCTTGCTCAGCCAATGGCGCTTCAGCTGGCGCTTCGTTCTGTGAATCGTGCGTCTACACCTTATTGGTCAATGTGCGATCACGTGAACAGTTGGCTCTGTCCATGGCTTTGTCTACGTCTTCTGCGGACGCAGACTGCTACTATTACGGCCAGGCTAGCGCAAGGCAGCCTCGATCGCTATTTAAAAAAAAAAAAGGATTTTGAGCTGGGAAAACACGGCGGGACGGCCGACGCCCCAACCCTCCGTGACTTAATAGGTTCTGATTGCGCCAGGGCCTCGGTCCTTATCGCCAATGATGTGAGATACCATCTGCCCTAGTGAATCCGAACACGTAGTAACCTTTGAAAGAAATTTATGGAGCGCGAGGCGAAAAAACGAACACAGGAAAGAATAGACTGAGAGGACAGTGACCAGCTGACCTGTGTTCGTTTTTTCGCCTCGATCGCGCTACATAAATTTCAAATGTTTCACCAACAAGCCCATATCGCCACTCTTGTCGACATAGTAACCCACTGTCGCGGAATGAACGACGGTTAAGCCTAAACTGAATAAGTGTTTGGCTTTAGTAGCCTTTCAAACTAGAATGAGTTTCTTGGGTGACAAGTGCGTAACGGGAAACGCTTCAAGCTGGTTTCCGCCATAGTGGCTCGACCAGTAACGATCATTGATTACATGACAGCAGATACCAAAGTACACGTATGTGTTGCTATTCCACACGTGGCACAGACCTTCCGACACGCACAATGCACACACAGAGAATGGAGAAGTGTGCGCAACAATAAAGAATCGCGGATGATCCCTATTTCTCGAAAATTGTTCACAAGGCGAAACGTGCCTCCAGAGTAGTTGCCGCTCTGTGAGACGTACGTTATGAAAAATTGCACCATATCCAGCTAAAGGGAACCACGTGTAGATGCGAAGCAGCGGGCGCTAATGCTTGGAGGCGCAAAGCACGCAGTGATGGACCCTATGTCATTCGCTGCTAATGGGCAATGAGCGGCAGACCCGCAGTCCGCATTTAGTCAACGCACACGATGCGAGTTGCCAATGTTATTTATTCAATTATTTATTTATTATATCCTCAAAGGTTCTGTATGGAACGTTACATGAGGAGTGGGTGACATAAAAACAAGCCAGTATCAAAAGTAATAGCTAAGAGACACCTGAGTCTGTTCTTGGATGGCATTCTTTGAAGCGTGCAGAATTGCGTATGACTGCCTCCTCTTCTGGAGGGCCATTGCAGTCTCGGGCAGTGGGCCAGAATAATGACTGCTGACATAATGTGGTGTGAGCACGTGGCTGAATCGCAGCGATTGGATGACTTGTGCGATGGCCTCGGTGGACTGGTTCAACTCGATGGAAAGCTCTAACAGGTCTTTTTTAGATTGTATATGCTGCAGTAACTGGGGTATATAATCTGGCTGCTCGGTTCTGGTCATTCTCCAGAATTTTGATATGATTGGTATTTTGATTGCATTGCTGGGGTCCAAAGGCGGCAGATGCATATTCAAGTTCAGGTCTAACAATTTTGATCGATGCAAGCGAGTAGTTTAACGGAAGGTGATACCCTGAAAATGCTACGGTGTGTGTCCCCAAGGGCACGGTCATAGCAGAGTGATCAATGTTAACCCCATGATAGGTCGCTCAAAAAATGGACTCATTTAGTTGCACCTATGAGACAGTTGTTGATGACGTAAGTAGCTGGCGCGTAGTTTCTGGGACGATAGAAGAAAATGAGCAATGTTTTATTCGTAATAAGTTGCATGATCCAGGGGCTACACCACTGTTGAATGCTTATAAAAGGTCATGCTGTAGGGAAGAAATATCGGTAGAGTTGTGTATTGGGCGGTAAAAGACACAATCGTCGGCAAATAAAAAAAAACGAATGTTAGATTCATCATAAAACTACATGTTTATGAAATTGGATAGCCAGCACTGCAACCACTATTGACGTTTCGCGAACATTAGGACCTATTTTAAAAGTAGCTCGGAGTCCTGGCGTGGCTCTTTTGTAGAATACTTGATAGCCACGCAGGCTTAGAATGCTGGAGTTCCTACTAGGACTTTAAGATTTATTCTTTGATTGCGTCGGGTAAATGCTGTCGACGTTATAGCTTAATGCTCACGCGTTAAAATGACCCATGTCTGTTCTCGCCATTCCTGTGTAGATATAAGTCAAGATCCTTGACGCGGGTATGTGCCACACGTTTGGCGAAAGGACTTCATGATGTACTCGGGTGGATTGGGGCAATCATTCATGTCATGACCAGCGAGGTATAGGTGTTTCGTCATCTTACCCTCTTACAAATTTTGGTTCACTCCAAGTAAAAGGGACTCTAAAGGCGACTATTATGTAGACGATGATTGTTGAAATAGCGGTCCAGAAACCTCAAAGTGTTACTTTTGTGCCGAGGAAGGGCCTATTTTGACATAAAATCAAGTTTTTGTGGTCCGCATCGGGTTAGCCCACTTCAAATTACCCGCCTCGAAAAACGCACTGGCCGGACCGATTCACGTCACTGTTGCCGTGTACAACGTTGCCCGGCTTTACTGCGCTAGTAGCAGCAGACTGAAAGCAGTGGGAGCCACAGCAGCAACAACGGCCATTGATCAATTTCCCGCCATTGGCTTCAAAATTGCAGACGTTTTTTTTTGTTGTTGTTGTTGTTGTTGTTGTTGTTTCAACTGCATCCGCTAGATGACATCATCTGTCCCGTGTAACCACGCGAAAATTAAATTTTTGAACCACTCGCGCCATTCCCCAAAGTAACGCCTGGCGGTTCTTTTTTCTATGAATTAAGCAGAAGCGAACAAGCAGCATTTTATTGCTTCTCTTGATGTAGGGAAGGTTCTTTATTTAGTTCAGTTAGATCGATCACTAGTTATTCGTTGTAGGCGGTCTGTCTGATGTCATCGGGATCATTTTGAAAATGTCCTATGGTGGCACTCTTGTTTTTTTTATTGAAATAGAAAATAAACGGAGTTTTTGTCACCGTTACTTGGCGACGGCTACTCCTTTCCACTTAATTGGTACAAATAAAAATATGAAAAAAACAATAGCATATTGTCACGGGGTCGTGACGTGGCCAAAGACAGGAGACTTTATGTTGGGATTTAACTGTTTATTTGGGCGAACCAGTGTTCGGTAAACGGAAAGTTCGATTACAGTAGCAGTCTTGGACTGATAGCGGCGAACGGTGCGCCGGCCGTCGATCAACTACTGACGAGCGGCGAAGCGCGTCGGCATTTATACTCTTGCCGTCGAATGTTCTAGCGTTATCGCTGGCGGTGGCGTAGGTTCCAGAACAATCTGTACCGTTCGCACAGTGGGCGTGATCTTATCGAAATGATCTACTACAGTCCGGAACCTTCTAGAAAACTGCAGGCGCGCTTTGCGCTGAGAATTGTGTAGTGTTTTGGGACGATAACAAAACTTGGGAAATGGAACGTGGAATCTATACAGTCCTACATGGGTGAGAGCAAAAGCTCTCCTATATGGGCAGAACAAACACGTAGACCACACGCTCACTTCTTCTGAGAGCTCTTCTGAGAGCTCTTTTAGTATAGCGTATACTATGCGCACATCAATGTGTCTTGAAGTGGCACTTTCCGCGCATGCCAGTGCTGCCAGAGAGTCTGTAATTACCACCCATTTTCTTGGTGTCGTTGATAGTTTTATAAAGCTTATGGCTAGCAAAATCGCTACGAGCTCCGACGTTGTTGAAGAAGAGAGGTGGCCCAACTGACATGCATATTCTTCGTACATGCATAATTCCGGAATTATGAATGCTGATATCGCTGTCTCTTTGGTGACAGCGTGAGTGTATCCTTGGTACCTGTCAAACAGATGATGTGATGCCAACTGCTGAGCGGCAACGGTTGGCACTTCATGTTCGCTGCGAAGTCCTTCTATTGACGTCTCAATAGTTGGTAGCTCAAGCAGGCATGGAGGGTAGTTTTGGTCCAGTGGTCAATGTGTCGACACAGGAAGCCGGGAAATGTACTGTTGGTACACATGGTGTATTTGCACGGTTCATGATGTTGGATATGAGCGGATGGGAAGGGTGTTGCGTGACTAGACGAAAGAGGTGCCGACATGTCTCCATATTTGTAATTACTGTAAAGTTGGGTTCTCTTGCCTCTGCCAGTGTCAAAGAACTTGATGTTGCCTGTGGAACCCCCAGACATATGCGTAAGCTTCGTGCTTGTAACAGCTGAAGTCGGTGTAGCGACGTCTGAGAGATGTTGTGGAGAACTGGCGCAGAGTAGGCAATTTTCTGTCGGATTAGTACTCAATGGACGTGGAGGAGAGACGCTGATGTACCGCCCCATTTTGTTCCCGCGATGCGACGTATAACATTTATGGTGCTGTTCACTTGATTTTCTAGATTAGCGTTATGCTGACTCCATC